AGGAAATCAACGTATGGTTCAATTGTACCTAACAGAAACATGAAAGATGATCTCTAAAGGTTCATTAAGTTCTTGTTGAGATGCAGCCATTCTTGGGATAGTTGCAGTTAAATTTCTGTCTAGGACAGTGTTTTCAACCATTTCAACTTGAATGTGTGTAGACTTCAACTCCCAGAATTCCCCATCTGGCTTGCCTTTTAGGAATTCTGGAAGTTGGAGTCCACACATATTCAACTTGCCAAGATTGACAAACATACTTCTAGTTTACACTTACACATGTCTATATAGTACGTCTCACTGTGTGCAAGCTTATGCTTAGTATTTGGTGATTAACAAAAAGTAAGGGTATTTTCCCTATACTATGCGCCCACCTTAAAAACAGAATTTAAAATGTGATTACATTTTTCAAAGGTATTTTTTTTCTTTACAAAAAATGGAGTTTCACTCGCAGATATTGCATATTCTTGCGGTACTACTGAACCTCCCTCTTGACCTTCCCCCTTGACAGAGTTAGGTAAAAGCTAAGAGATAAAGAGCTATATAAAGGTCGGGGTATACAGAAGACCTTTGCTAATAGGCCTGAAATGTACCCAATATCTTATAAACTGAATCTCTACAAGGTGTTAGAACTGAATAATCATAGTGTTCAGAGTATAACAAAAGTAGAAATAGGTGGCATAACTTTCCTGATTAAAGTAGAAGGGGAATCCCTTCCATTGCCAGCCTCAGACATGTTGGCAGAGCAGCAACCAGCAAACCCACCATTCAATATTTATATTGTATTCAACATACTTTGAGGAATCCATATCTTCTGATGTATTTCATGGTGGGTTGCCCCCAGTTCGCACCAGTTCTATAGAACCGGTAGTAAAACCAGCAGGAGGCCCCGCCCACTGACCCTGACATCATAAAAATGCTTCTGCGCTTGCGCAGAAGAGTGTGCGCACGTATGAGCAAAGTGAGCGCACGCAGCCTCGTTGCAAACCAGTAGTAAAGGTAAGTAGAACCCACCCCTGATGTATTTCAATAGTGCCCACATAAGATCCAACAAGCTGATACCATGTCAAGAATTTAGAGGAAACTAAATATCATCTTTTGTATCCCAGTACAGATCTAATGCTTAGATACTTTCATAGAATGGTTTATCCAGTTAGAATTGGACCATGAGACACAAAATAACAGGCAGTTTGAATTTACCCAGGTTTTATTTAGCTCAGATTACACAAATATGCACTTCAAATTCATGTCTGAATTATCGTAGCTAAATTAGATTGGCTTTCTTTGGAATTCTGAGCGGTGAAAAGGATTCATGACAAAAGGTACATAATTCTTCATTTATTCACATTAAAGCCGTATTTCCCAAACCTGAGTAAATTTCCCAAAACTGGGTAAAAGCAATTTTTTGGGGGGGTAACATACATGACTCCATTATGTATGTATTAATTTGCAAGACGGCTACTATGTCTAAATGGACCAATAATTGTCTTCCAGATTTCTGCTTCTGTTTTGGTTTTTAGTCTCCTGTCTGAACTTCATTATATAAATGAACTAAGGGGAAATGGACTATACTTTCCTTCAAACCTGGTGCTCAACCACTAACAAAATCTAACAGAATCTAACAGAAAAGTAACCCTGTATATTACTTTATCCTCCAGTTATAAAAACCACTTTCTCTGGAAGCCAACAATTATTTTATGGGCTAACAAATACAGTAGAAAGATGCTGCAAGGAAACCCTGAGTTCCTTGCAAAAAGAACTGCTGTCCTTTTCATCCTTCATGAAGAAATGCTAATAAGAGGGTTTAAGATCCAGAATGTGACTCACCAATCCAGGAAAGAAAGGTGCTGGCCCAGCTGACCTAGGTTGAAAGCAGTGTTTGCTCCTCGGCAAAAAGGAGTCCTAACAAATTATGCTTCCCTCTAATCATTCATATTGACTCTATTCATAAGAAATGCTAAAATAACTTGGTAATGATTGTAACCAACTTGAAAAGAGCATGGATAAAATAAAACAAACTAGGAATAAACTTAACATTTAAAATTAGTCTTTAGAGCGATTTACACTCTCTTTTCATCTAGTCAGACTAATATCAGATTTTAGTATGGCAACAAGTGGTCAGTGCTGTAATTGAGGCAGACATTTTTATCAGGAAACATCAACCTTGGCCTCAAATCCCATAATCACCCCTAAAAAAGCAGAAATCTTCTGATCCTCTCTTGACTGGTAATTATGCATACAAAAAACATTTTTGAATCATTTGAAGGGTACTGGTTTGACATGGCTGCAGCAACTAGGGTAAAGTGCAGAGAGGAGCAACCAAGATGATTTAAGGGCCTGGAGACTAAAACATATGAAGAAGAATTGGGTATGGCTGGAGAAAAGAAGGACTGAGGGTGACATGATAGTAGTATTCCAATATTTGAAGGGTTGCCACAAAGAAGAGGGAGGTCAACCTATTCTCCAGGTTGCACCAGCAGACAAGACAAGAAAAAATGGATGGAAACTAAACAAGGAGAGAAGCAACCTAGAACTAAGGAGAAATGCCCTAACAGTGAGAACAATTTTAGTGGAATGGCTTGCCTTCAGAAGTTGTAGGTGCTTCATCACTAGAGCCTTTTGAGAAGAGACTGGACAGCCATTTGTCTGAAATGGTTCCTTCCAACTCTATTATTATATTCGATTAACTAACACCAATTACTATAATGTGCAAAATACATAATTATGGACCAGGTTACAGTAAAGATATAATTCCTATTATGTTGCTTTTGCTCCTGTATCAAGAGATATGCCATATATGCTTTGCCACAATTAATTTTGTCTAAGTCTCAGACAGAGGGAAGAACTCTTAATAAGCTATATCAATTTGGTCAGTCTGGATGAGTGAGGTTAACTTTGTATGGAAAATGCTTTCCCTGGATGCCGAAATGGCACCTTCTCTCTTTGTTATTTCAGAAAATTGTTAAAACCTTATTATTTCATCAAGTATTTCCTTCAGTTTGATTGACTATGAGAATTCATCTAGACACTTATATGTCTAGATAGTCAATAAATCAATCAAAGAGATAAGAAAAGATTCCTTTTTTAAATTTTCCCTCCATCCAAAATAATCATAGGTGCACCAGTGAGGGGAAATCTAAATTTAGGAATTCAAATATATGATTTTATTTATGTCTGTATTTCTATTTGTCCATTTTTTCAATCTCAGCTACTGCCTATAAGGAAATATTTCCAATGAAGTCCCATTGGCAATTCTCCAATTTTTACTGGGTAACTCACAGCTGTTGTAGAAGTAGGGAAGAAAAAAAAATCTGTATTCCATTTCTGGAACAGAAAATAAAATGCAATTCAGTGGATGATTGTTTTCTTAAACAATAATTAAACAGCATTTTAATACAATGTTCTATTTCAATTTTATCCTCTTGATTCCAAGCATATTCTTTGACTAATGTTGTTGTCTTTTATAAATAATAAGACTTGCACAATTGCACAAAAATCAAAAATAAAATGTTAGTTAATAGTAGGCTGGTTGAATTTAAACGCCTTCCCATCTCAGAAAAGAAGTTTGGCTCCTTTGAAGTTCTTACCGGATTCAATTGTTGGTATATAATGTAGGTGCCACAATGATCCGAGGCGATGGGATGTAACCTTTCTCTAAGGTTCTGCTATTTTAATGTTCTACTGGACAGATTTATTTTCCATCAGACTATAGAATCAACTGGAAAAAAGTAATTTCAAGGCAGACAGGCAGGACACTGCAGCAGTTCTTCATGCTACATAGCCATGGGATATCATCCTTGCAGAACATAAAAAAATAATAACAGCAAGAAAAGGGTTTGAGATTAAATATCAGAATTCTTTGAAATAAAAACAGTAACTGACTGGATGGCAGCTGCCATTCCCCATCAGGATTCAATAGTTGGTTTGCTTCTCAGAGGAAGCCTCGATTCTCATCAGGTATCAAACTGTGCATGCAGAAATGCTAAGGAAACCCTGCACCTGACTCTGCTCTTAAGATTTCCAGCAGCAGCCACTCAGCTGGCAAGCTGCAAAAGGAACACCAATGGAAAAGCGGCTGTGAAGGATTTAGAAATTAGGTACCCTCTAGCAGATTGCAGACATGACTGTTTCAGATATGGCCTTCCAATCCTAGCTGCTTATGGTGACAACAAGTGAGGATTAAACACCCAATTTGCTGCTTAATGCAGATGGATTTCAGCCTTGTGCAGCCGAACAGCTGCCAAGGGAAAAACGAGCAAACAAACCAACCATAGTCTCAAACATAGGAAAAATGTGTCTGGCTCCTAACTCACCAAAGGAATATAATTTCATCCTTGGGGACCCCAGATTTATACAAATAAACTGTATTTTTTAAGTAAGGCACGCTCAGCTATAAATTAGAGATGACCTTCCCAATAAACATGGAAAAGCTGTGCAAGAATTAGAGGAACATATCACAATGAACTGGCTGGAATTCATGGAAATTGTAGTCTAATCATCTAGATGTCACCAGGATGAGTAAAACTGACCCCACCTATTCTCAACTACCCAAACATAAAATAAATCCTGAGATATGCTATAAGCATAAAACTTCCACACTTCCCTTATGAAGGTCACAATAATGCTCAGATACAACCTTACCTGGTACTGTAGATTAGTAATGTAAGTTTTTTTAAGGAATTCAGACAAAAACAATAGTGTTCTTCTCCCAAGTTCTACCATAAAGTAATGTAGACAATTTTGATTCTAACTGTATAATTCTGTAGGCATATTTTTCACAGTTGTGTTTCCAACTTTGCTTGCCAAGTTCTTTAAAATATTTGACACAATATTTTCCTCTGTGTTCTGGCTCATTCAGAGGGTACAAGTCCCTCTGACATTTTGGGATTCTTCTTGTCCCAAAGCACTGGCACTGACATCAAGAAAAGAAACTACTTAGATTTCACTATAATGAGCTTAAGTCACATTTTAAAGAACAAAATAAATCAATTACTGTACTTGACTAAATTCTGTCTGCTTTGCAGCTTTATTCTCTTTTCAAAATAAATACCAAATAACATCTTACAGCTATATATTTATATTATTTCCAGTGTTTTAGTACCATTAAGAATAGATTATCCATCTTTAGGTATTTTACAAGTTAAATCATACAAATAAAAACAATCTGAAATTGGAAAAAAAAAACAGCATGCTGATCACCGAAGAAGAAAAGTTTCTTAGTTTCTAAAAGATCTGTCAGAAAAGTTATTTCAGCTTTTCAAAAGCTAAGACAAAACTAAACAAACCAGATTGTTAGATTAGCCTACATGCTACTACATACTGCATCTGTATTGCCAGGGAAAAGATGCCATATGTATATATCTTAACACAAATGACACAATGATATAATTGTGTCACAATGCAATCTAATACAAATTAACACAAACCCAATATTCTCATCCTTTGCCCAATGGGGAAAGACATTGACACACATGCCATCATTTTGACATCCTTGAAGTGCATGTTATGGATCATTTCCTTATGCTGAAAGGTATCCTTCCATTTTCCTCACCCATCAGGAGTATTCAGTTTTGACAAAAAATATACAACTATTTTTTTTCTAATTTAGCAGAGAGGCAATTGACAACCTTTGGATGACCACACATTTGTTTTAGGTGAAGGCAGACTGTGTATGAGGGGCTACAAAAGGTGACCAGGGCTCTTTTGCACGTGTAGTGAGGCCAGCAATGAGGGCACCCTTTTCCTGGTTTAGATGGGAGATGTTTCTGTATTAACTGTTTTAATTGACTTTAAGGATTGCATTTCATGCAAATCATACAAGAAGACTGAAAAAATATATTAAAATCTTACAGGAATGAATCCAATCATTGTCACATAGTAAACTATTATAAAATGTATGTTTTACTGAAAGAATGAGAGAGGAAAAGAATGTTGGTAAGGAAGCAATGGAAGAAAAGAAATTAAAGCTGTTTGAAAATCACATTATAACCATGGGAATAAAGTAATAATAGCAGTGAGGCGAGACAGGAAGGTCCACTCTGTACACTTGCGCTGTAGAGTCAATTGTCCTTTGGCTCTTCTTCAACCAGAAGAAGTCTCTATTAGTGATCATGAAGCATTTTTATATTATAGTACTGGTAAGAATTCCTGCTGCATGCGTGGGTTTCCATATACCCACTATGTCAGGAGAGGACAAGATGTGCTCTAAGGGCAACACAGGGATCTAAGACAAAATTTGGCAGCAAAATTATCCATTCTCCATTGTGGGTGGAGACAGCAGCCAGGCCTGGGTTCTACTCATCTGTTCAGATGGATTGAGTCTGTCATTTAAGCTAAATCCCGCCCCTGTTGCTAGGGGCTTCCAGCTTTTGACTCAGTCCATCAGACTGGACAGTTGTGTGGAACTGTGTCTCTAGCTGCCTTTCACCTGTTTGGTACTTTTACTTGGATATTTCTTCGGTTTGACTTTGGACTTCCTTAGACCACTCTAACTCTAATTTGGACAATTGCTGGCATACATGACCTCATCAGCTGCCTAGCTGGGATCGCTGAGGACAGTTTCGCCTCCTTGCCCCTGTAGAGGATTTCCCTGTGAACTGGTCAGTAACGAGGCTTGGTGGAGCCTTGCGCTCCCATGGGGGCGGGGGCATGAGCAGCTGGCTTGGCCGGAGAGGCTTTGCACTTCTGTAAAGGCTTTGTAACTGTGGAGCTTCGCGCTCCTGGGGAAACTGTCGGGTGGCCATTTTCTATCGTTTTGGAATCGCTTGCCACCTTGTGGAGCCTCGCGCTCCCCTTTCACTTGCCACTTGTCGGCAGTTCAAACGATTTTGGTCGAGGCGTCCAACGTTGCATTGCAGGCTAAGAGACCTGGTTCTCCTGCTCTTGGCCCCATTTCTACCGCCTGGGGCGTTTTGGTGTAGTTTCGCGCTCCCGTCATTGGGGCTAGCTCCGGCCGCCATTTTGGATTCCCTCATGATCGGAGCAGCACGTTAGAGCCTTTCTTCAGGCCTCCAAGCTTCAGCCTGCGCCTTTTATACCCCTGGCTCCCTTGAGATTTGGATTGTCTTGCGAACGATTGGATCATCGGCTGCTTTCCTAACAACTTCAGCATTTCTATCAGCCGACTGGCAAGCCTCACCTCGTTGGTTGGAGGCAATTTGCATGATTTCTGGGGCTTGTCTTTGACACCCTGACCTGGGGGCATATTTATTGCCCTTCCTGCCTTGCTCTCTCGCGGAGCCTTGGACCAATCTAGTGTGGCTGGTATGTTCACTGCTGGTGGCCATTTTGTGGAGCCTGAAGGCAAATTGCTTTGGCGGCCTTATCTCACAGACCCTCTATTCCCCTTGGCAATAGCGCACGCTAAGGCCTATCATGCCCAAGGCACTGGCCAAAACTAAGCATGGCTGGAAGGCCTCTGTACAGGAGCAGTCAACATCCTCCCAAGGAGAGTTGTTCTCTAAGCATGCTCAAACAGCGGACCCTTCCAACAGATCCGATAACAAGGAGGCCCATTCTCATCATAAGGGCATCAAGCATTCCTCAGCTTCTTCATGGGTTGAGAAGCGCAGTGATAAGGTTTTACAGAAATTATGCGATAAGGCTAGTGGCCATCGTCCTCTGCCTCCCAATGCTGACTCTACGCCTCCAGGTGGGAGGAACCTTGGTCCTCCAACAACTCCGGATCAGATTTCGCTGCAAGATTGCCCGTTGACCATCCAGACGGCTGACTTGTGGGGTACGGCTCCCATTCCGGGGCTGACTTGTGGGGCACGGCTCCCATTCCGGGGCCGACAGGAACTACGAAGGCATTTGCTCCCGCATACTCTGTGGAGCCAGCTCCCTCTTCATCTTCTGCTCCGGTTCGAGCTTCTGCGGAAGCCGGACTGGCCCGGGACCAAGTGCAGACCTGTTTATGGCCTGAGGATATCCAGGCCATAAACGATTGCGGCAGCGGTACAACAATCCCTGTCAGCACATCTCTTTCCTAGCAATAGAAATGCTTCGGCCCAAGCTGTCCACTTGGACCCATCTGTGTCTCCTGAGAGAGATGACAATGAGGTTGCCTTATCAATTGCGGGGTCTGATTCCCCGGCCCTTTCCTATATCAGCCAGCCTTCGGCCATTGAGGATGTGGACCCACAAGAACCAGAGTTGTCTGAGGATGAGGTCTCCCTCCGGACCAACCGGCGTTCACAGGCCTCTTTCCTCAGGCCCTCTTTAAATCTCTTCTGTTTAAGGCGGTGAATACGGCACAGCTCGGGACCAGTGCGCAGCCCGATCCTCCAGCTGTTCCTGGATCGCTAAATCCTTTATTTGCCGAACCGCCTAAGCCAGTGACTGCCATTCCCACTTCGCCACTCTTCCTGGATGTCATACGAAAACTGTGGTCTTCGCCTGGGTCTGCTCCAGTGCCTTCAGCCATGGACTGTAAGAATTTCACCATATCGCAGGACTTGACTTCTCTGCTTCAAGTGCCCACTATCGATGCTCCTGTTGTGGCATTACTATCTAATGCATCGGTTCCTGGAGATCCGGAGGAGGGTCTTCATCCGGAGGAGCGTCGGTCGGAGCAGGTCCTTCAGAGGGCTCATCAGGGAGCAGCCTGGGCCATTAGATCGGCGACCACCACCTCAATTTTCAACCATTCGACTCTGCTGTGGTTATGACAACTCCAGGACAAATTCTTCCCCAAGGACACAAGATTGAAGCAGGACATAAATAAAATCATAGCAGCGGTGCAATTCTCGGCAGATGCTACCTTGAACGCTGCTCGTTTTGCTTCTAAATCCCTGGCCTCGTCTATAGCGGCCCGTCGCCTAGTTTGGCTCCACCACTGGCAGGCCGACGCTAGACATAAGTGCCGTCTGGCCTCTGTTCCCTTTATGGGAAACAAATTGTTTGGGGACCCGTTAGAATCCTTCCTGATGGAAACTAAGGACAAATGGAAAATCTTGCCTACGGTCTTCTGTAGGGGAGAGCCCCGTTATTCACCGTATACTTCTCAACCCCATTCGAGCATTGGACAGGAGATCTGGTTCATTTCGTAGTACGGGTAGTTTTGTCCCCAGGCAGAAGGGGTTTCAGGATAGGTTAGCAAGGGGCAGACCTTACATGACTAGACTGCCCTTTCGAGGGGGAGGGGGGTCATTCAATCCGTCGCCGTCGTTAGTACTGCTGCAGATCCTCCCATTGGCGGCAGATTAGGCCTCTTTGCCAATGTTTGGGAGCGTATGACTTCTGATTGTTGGGTCCAGGCCACCATAAAATCAGGGTTGGCTATTGAATTCCTTTCCACCACCACCCCCCATTGTCTTTTTTGTGCTGTCCACTTTCTAATGACACTGAACGTCGATCCCTTATGGAGTCGGCTATCAAGCATCTTCTCAACATTCGGACTATCCAACGGGTGCCTGATGGTGAAGCTGGACAGGGTTTCTATTAACGTGTGTTTCTAGTCCCCAAGTCATCAGGTGGGTGGAGACCTATTCTGGACCTTAAGCTTTTGAACTGCTACGTAGTATACCGCAGGTTCAAAATGCAATCCTTGCGTACTATATTAGACGGCGTTCGGAGGGGCAATCTCCTCTGTTCTATAGATATCACTGAAGCTTATCTTCATGTGCCTATTCTTCCTGCCCATAGGAAATTTATCCATTTTTGTTATGCAGGGGCCCATTATCAATACAGGGCTTTGCCCTTCAGGCTTTCCTCTGCTCCCCGTAGTTTTACCAAAATTTTAGCGGCCTTGGCCGCTTCCCTCAGAGTTCGTTCAGTTTGTCTCCAGTGTTACGTGGATGACATTCTGATTTTATCTAGTTCTCCTCAACAGGCACATTTGGACCTCCAGTTGACCGTTCAAACCCTCGCCTCCCACGGCTTCTCCATTAATACGGAGAAAAGCCATCTAATCCCCTCGACCTGTATTCTTCACTTGGGGGCAATTATCGACTCTGTAGAAGGTAGGGTTTATTTATCCCAGGAACGCCAGGATAAGTACTGAAATCCCTTGTGGCTAAGGTTGAGAAGGACAGGAAAGCATCTCCCTTGTTTCTGTCCCAACTATTGGGCAAGATGGTCTCGGCCATTTCTATAGTCCCCTGGGCCCGATTACATTTGAGGGACCGCCAATGGTTTCTTTTGCCATTGCAGAAGGCGGGCAGCGGCACATCGTCGGCCAGGATTCCCGTTCCCAGGGAGGTGATTGCATCCCTTTGATGGTGGCAGTCTCCAGCCATTTCCAGGGGCTGTCCATTCCTCGAACCCCAATGGCTAGTGGTTTCTACCAACACCAGCAAGTTCGGCTGGGGAGCCCACTGCGGGTCTCAAGTGGCGCAGGGCAAGTGGTCAGCCAACGAAGCATCTCGCAGCATCAACTGGCTGGAATTACGAGCGATATTTCTAGCCCTTTGGGCGTTCCATCATCTGGTGTCCGGTGCCCATGTCATGGTGCTCACAGACAATGTTTCAGCCAAGGCCCACATAAATCATCAAGGAGGCACCAGGTCCATGTCCCTGATGTTGGAAGCCAAGAGAATGGGACTCTGGGTAGAACGTCATCTTTCCTCCTTAAAGGCAGAACACATCTCAGGAGACTCGAATGTCCAGGCAGATTGGCTGAGTCGCCAAATGATTGACCACTTGGAGTTGCACCTGCACCCTCGAATCTTCCAGGACCTTGCAACCTATTTTGGTGCTCCTGTAGTCGACCTTTTCGCCACCGCGCACAAGACTCAACTCCCACGGTTTTATGTGTGGTTCCCATCACAATAGGCAGAAGCAGTGGATGCCCTGCGCTCCTCATGGCCTCCGGGCCTGCTTTACACATTCCCAATTCCCCTCATTCCGAGGGTCATTTGGAAACTCTTGCAAGAACGGGCGGAGGTCATCTTTCCGGCACCGCATTGGCCGAGGAGGGCATGGTTTGAAGACCTCGTGAGTTTGTCGGTCTCTCCTCCCTGGAGGATCCCATGCAGCCAAGATTGTCTCAGTCAGGGGGCGGTGTTGCACCCGGAGCCCCAGTGACTGCAAATGACCACCTGGCGGTTGAGTGGAGCGTTCTGCAGCGGGTCAATATCCCAGCCACCGTGATACGAATGATCCAGGCCTCTAGGCAGCCTTCCATGGACCGCATTTATTCGGCCACTTGGCGTCCCCTTTGTGCTTGGTGTGATCTCAAAGGGTTCTCTGCCCTTCAGGCTTCAGTTGTACAGGTTCTGATGTTTTTACAGGACGGTCTGGACAGAGGGCTCTCACCCAATACTCTTCGGAGGCAGGTGGTGGCTATTTCGTCAGTCCTGACTTAAGAGTCTCTCCTTTCTTTATCTCACGAGCCTCTGATACGTTGGTTCCTCTGGGGGGCAACTAACTTGTGTCCTCTGGTGCTGCACAGAGGTCCACGTGGGACCTCTCAGAGAGGTCCACGTGGGACCTCTCTCTAGTTCTGACCTCCCTTACAGGTGCCCGGTACAAATCTTTGCGGTCTACCAGCCTACGGCTGCTTTCCTGTAAAGTGGCGTTTCTAGTGGCGATAACATCTTTCGGAAATTGCGGCACTGTCGATGAGGAGCGACTTGTGTGTTTTTCATGCGGACTGAGTGGTCCTAAGACTAGACCCTACTTTTGTATCTAAAATTAACACTCCGTTTCACCGTTTGCAGAAGCTTATTCTCCTGGATTTCTGTCCTCGACCATATCATCCACGGGAATGGCGGTGGCACAAGCTGGATGTCAGCACTTTAAGCTGCATTCACTCCAGTGCTGACATAAGGAGGAGAAGATGAGGCATCTGGCAAGAGGACGTTTGACTTTTCACCTACTTATTTTCCCTGGAGATGCTATCCCCTAGGAGATGGGATGGGAGGGGGGAAATTCCTTTGAGCTGAAGCAGTAGATTACGGGCAGAGTGACTTGGAAGATGGCCAATGAGACGCAGAGGAGTGGGGAAAGGAAAGGGAGGGTTTCGGCCAGGAAGTTAGTGTTGGCTGCAACGGAGTCGGAGATCGATTGTTGTGTTTAATAAATGAAAGATTTTTATCAAAGGCTATTTGTTTGAAATGCAATTTGTTTGAGACGACATTGAAACCTGACACTGGATGTCCGGAGAGCCCTTCGGATATACCTCAAGACAACGGATATCCGTCCGGCGGATATCCGGGGGACAGAATCCTTGTTTGTCTCCTTTCTCCCTGTTTCAAGGGAGCAAGGTAACTTCCTTTACGATTGGTCATTGGCTCCGACAAACAATCTCCACGGTTTACGAACTGCGCTCTTTGCCTAGGCCATCTAACTTGATTGCACATTCTACATGCAGCGCGGCGATGTCAACAGCTTGGGCCACGCAGGCTTCGTTACTGGAAACATGCAGGGCAGCTACCTGGACTTCCCCTTCTCCCTTTATTCATCACTATAAGTTAGATAAATATGCCTCTGCGGAGGCTGCCTTTGGGAGGAGAGTGTTACAGAGAGTACATGTGGAAGGGGGGTCCTCTGACCAGACTGCTCCCACCCGGGTTTCAGGACATTGAACTTTGGTATGTCCCAGGCCTGGCTGCTGTCTCCACCCACAATGGAGAAGGGGCATTGGTCCTACCTGAGACGCATTGGGTGGAGACAGCAGCCAGCCCCACACTTCGCCAGTCTGGTCCCTAATACTATTTTTCTTTTTATCCACACACCGAGTCTATTTTTCCTCCTCCGCCAAAAGCTGGAAGCCCCTAGCAACAGGGGTGGGATTTAGCTTAAATGACAGACTCTGTCCATCAGTCTGAACAGACGAGTAGAACCCAGGCCTAGCTGCTGTCTCCACCCAACGAGAAGGTGCATCTCAGGTAGGACCAACGATCCTTTTCAGCAGCATAATTGTGCAGGATTGCTTTTCTCAAAAATATGAATCTAAATTGCTGTTCAATGTCATTCAGTAATATGTCTTCTCACTAAGATGCATAATTGCCACACAATTTTTACATAATTAACATATAGTAGAGAGTCAGATTATTTGGTGTCTTTTAATTGTGCTTTCTTTAAAACTGCTTAAGTTCTCTTTCATTACATGGGTTAGACAAGCCTCCCAAATGCTTCATTAGAAGCACTGGAAAGCCTGGAAATCAACCAAGCAAGCAAGCAAAATGAAAATGATTTCAAAGCTTCAGCGTATGTGCTGGGAATTACTAAAATGGTATCGTACCAGAAATAACTTTATACTGTGAAATATTAGACAATATGTTTCAGAACATTTGCTGTCTGGAGAATTTCTCCCACAGGATAGCAAAAAGTGCAATTTATAAATATGTCTCTCCTTAGCATACAATTTCACCCCTTCTACCAAAGAATGATTCTGACCCCTTCCCCCGATTACTAATAAAATAAAATATAACTTACACATTTCTATGCCTGAATATACAGGCATTACTAATATTGTAATTCAATTCTGTGTTGATTTGAAAGCAAATCCTCCTGTGCTCGCTAACTCTATGCAAAGTGCATTTGCGTTCCATCTTGGATTTACCAACTCATCCATCGATTCTGTCCCTATATAGCAGTGGGCACAGCAGAATGTGTTTTGTATATTTTTGCACAGTGAAAATAGCTACTTAGACAATTATCCTTCTCTGCAATTCTTCCTCCAGTTTCAGCAATTTTAACCGTTCAGCTGGGGGAGTTGCAAAGTAGGTTTTCTGTTCTTCTGAGTATTTATCTTTTACTTCAATAATATCCCGATAGTTCCAGTCCCGCCAGTGGAAATTGAATTTCTCTAGTAGTTCTATTCTTTTTTCTTCTGTTGGTACACAATCAATAGGGCTTTTCTGCAGCAAGAAGGGTACCTTGATATCTGGGAAAAGCAGAAGAGCCCGGATTGCAAACCAACCTCCATAAGAGGGGTGAATACAAACACCATAGATCTTCTGAAATGAAAGAAAACAAGTTTAAGACATGAATTTAAAGATAACCAATGGCTCAAATCCTATGCAGAAAAAAGACAAATGCTGACTCGGTACATGCATCATGTTAATCCCTGGATTGTTAAATATAGTACAATAGCTGGATTCACACAACACCTTATATCTAAAGTAAATAAACTACACTAAATAGATATATGGCTACAATTTTATTTTTTTAAAAAGGTAACTGTGAAACTTTAGTAACAGGATTTGACCTGGAGTGTTCCACTGCAATCATATTTCAAACCCTCATACCTATAGAAACTTGCCTTTCAGTTACTTTAAGAAATAGTTTCAAACAAAGTTGAAAATTAGTTGTGAGAGGTATTAATTTGCATGACTTTTACGCATTCCTTTTGTCCCATTATTACATAAAGTGAAACAGGGTTTGCATGAAGGCTTTTGAAATCATGTATCTCTTTGGAAAAACTAAACAAATTAGGCACCTATTTGACAGCAGTATACAAAGTAGGTTACTAATTTATTGGCAAATAATCTATGAATCTATGAATATTAATTTGAAAATATGTCCACTAAATTTAGTGGAATTATTCCCAAGCAAGAATATGCATGAATTGCTACAGCAGAAGTATGGCAAATTTATCAGACAAAAGGTCATATTTACTCTGGGGGGAGAACATCAGGAACTACTTGTCAAATGGGGACAGAGACAGAGATATCCCTATTCTCTAGCTATTTTGCAAGTCTCAGCCATATATGTCTATACCAGAATATAATATTTAGTAAAAAATAAACCTGAGTTCATTGTTACCTACTCTCAGATAAGTGAGAACATTATTATAGCCTTACAGTATTTGATCATGAATACGTTAGATTTCATATATAATTTTAAAATGATACATATATTTTTATTACTTGATCCTGGTTTTCTCTCAAAAAAAAAACTGAGGGCAAAGATTCCAATTGTTCAATTGCTGCATTGTTTCCCTACAGGAAAAGCATGACTTACATTTTGGAACTAAAGATTTCCTATTTGTTTAAGATTTGAAACAGTCAGGTGCAGAACAGTACTGAACATCTGTTTTCAAAACCAGAAATAATCTAGAAGCTGGCTCTCAGCTATTTGTACCATAAGATTGATAATGTAAATACATACCTAATCTGACCACCATTTGTATGGGGATATTTAAAATAAGTAGTTGATTATCAAGCTATAATCCCCCGCTATCTTGCCAACCCTACTAGAGGAAAATCCTTTAGGACACCTTAATATTTATCTGCCACATGTAGTGAAGCAAGCTCTCTATATTTTCATTCCTAGCAGAGCCAGTCATAAAATCAAGAATAGTCATGCCTGCCTGCATTCCAGCTGAAGATATACTATATATATCAATACAAGAATTTGAATTCCACTTTATTTAAAAAACCAATTAAAAAATCAAAAGTTATTTTCAAAAGCAACTTTTTAAATAATTTGTGGAACATTATTAGGTGCTGAGAAAAATTTCAAACTTTGGAGGCAAAATGTGCTGAAACTTCAAAATATAATGAGATCCTAGGCAACCGCCACTATTCCACAATGGATGTTGGAGATTTTTATTTCTTTTTACTCCCCAATCAAATATTAACATATTTGAAAAACCTAACAAAACATTGTAGTAAAGAAAAATAATTGTATTACATGGATCTCCAATTTTATAATCTGTCCAAGGGAAGAGTGCAAATAGTCTTGCATTACACCATGGAATTGGGTATGTATACACAAAGTGTAAGATGCAAGCTTGATAATAATACAAGTGGAATGGAAGAGAAAATCAGGTACATAATCTGTAAAACATACTTGATCCTCCTGAATTGATAAAATCAGAAATGACCCATCAGTTCTCAAAGAAAAAAATCTCCCCTGCTGTTCCCAATCTGCTTACTTTTTCTCCCCAGGAATCTTGATGTACATCTTTTCTCTGATAGAGGTATGCAGCCCCAGCCACATGTGCTGCTGTTTGGGCCAGGAATTTGGGCTTCCGGTTGGGCAGGATCTCATAATCATACATGATATCCATGTTCTGATCAGCAAGACTCTGGAAAGAAGAGTTTCCATTACAAGTGAACCTGCAACGTAAAGGAATGGTGGCTGCAGATATGTGTAGAAATGTAAGAAGTATTTCTACAAGTTCCTGCCTCATCTAATGATATGAAATGGTGATGAAGAAGTTACAGCTTCTTACAAAGGTAAGATCTAAATTACATGGCACTGTATTCTCTCAGGTACTATTGATTTTAATCTTCGGATTCTACACATTATTTCATCAATCCCTTTAAGAAATTCATAGGATTTCTCATGTGTAAAAGAAGCAAGACCTTCAATAAGTGGTTTATAAACAATGCTAAAGTAAAAAAAAAAGACTCCACACAAAGGTTTCATTATTTTTTGTTTGCATACATATTAAACTGAGGCAGCTGAATGATATCAATTTGAATTAACATTCTAAACACTGGAAAGTGGAGAAACAAGAAAAACTACTCTGAAGGGTCAAATTTATTGGTAATTACCTTTGTACAGCACTAACTTAACTATAGCCAAACAAAGTCTATCACCCTATCACAAAGTCCATCTGGGTGGTTATAATAGATAGATTTGAGCAAACCGAAGAAAAGCAAGAAAATGATCCTATGCCAGAAACTTAACAGCCATAATTGCCTCTGTGCATAGAAGCAACCGCTCAGCAGGTGTGTGTATAATGGAAAGCTGAGTTGTTGTGTTTGCACACCTGTCAAGCCATTTTCAAATTTAAAACAAAAGCCACAAAAGGTGAAATCATGTCACATGACATAAAGGCACTATCATGATGGAGTTGTTTGTTTGTTTGTTTAGCTGCCCACCTCAATTTAGGGTAACTCTAGGCAGCTTACAATCATATGCTTTTGCTTATAAAAGAACCAAATCTACAAACTCCAAGAAGTCTTTCTGTCAATTGCATCAGTTTATTGTGAGTTTGGTGCAAAGATAATAACTAAAACAAATGTCAGAGGTAACTATTTGGTCAACAAACAATTTCCTAAGAAAGTGATATACTTGCCCAGAAAGATAATTTTCTATGTCCCTCTCTCTTATTATATGGAAAAGCATGTTATGTTGTTACATGTTGAAAACAACTTTGTTTTCAAGAAGGATGTTTGTTTGTGTCTGCTTGCAGATATAGTTAAATAATATTCACCTTTATACTAGTTTTTTCCCTCATTAAAATTTCAAATATTTAGAAAAATTATCCTTCATCTTTAGCCTAAAGTGATTTAATTCATCTCTGTGTAATATCACCACACTGTTCCCTAATCTGAATAAAATTAAAAACATAACCATGACTTCTACAAATTAACAATCAGAAATATGAAAGATATGTAGTCTCTTTTATTTAGGTTATTAGCTATAAAAACGTAGGTGTGTGCTTCCCTAAAGTGCAGTGATGTAACTCAGTGTTTTTTTAAATATTTGGCAACTTTAAGATGTGTGGGCATCAACTCTCAGAATTCCCCAACGAGCTACTCTAATGGAATTACCATATCCATTAGTTATTTTCATGGATATACCAGAGCAATCATTTATTTATTTATTTAGCGTATGGTTGGTCACACACAGTATTAAAACACTTCATTTTTACAGGTTAAAAACAATTAAAACAATAAAAAAGCAGTAAGAAAACCTAAAAGGAAAACAGAAATAACATTTCAAAGTTTAATGTCAAGTTTGGAGATCCAGTCAGTAGCTGCTGTTGTTATGCAGAGGAAGTCCCTAGAATCTCCTGGATACCTTCTGTTAGGGCATTCCCTCACTATATGCTGGATAGTCTGTCGAGGGGCCCCGCAATCACATTGTGCTGAAGGTGTCTTTCCCCATTTATACAGGGAGTCAGCACACACCCCATGAGTTGTTCTAATTCTATTATATGTCACCCATATGTGTCGGGGTAGGCTAAATCCTGGAGGTATACTGCTAGGACTGATATGCTCGGAGACATCTTGGGGGGAATTGGGCTATTCCACGCCTCCATCCACTTTTGTGTGGTGTTCTGATGATCGGCCATCAACTTAGCTGATGTCAAGATTGGTGGATTTCTTGACTTTAATCGGCATCTTAAGAGATCAGGAATGTATCCATGTATGGGTAGAGAGGAATTTAACAGGATCTTACTATACTCCCGAATGAGAGCTTCTTGTCGTCGTAAGTGTGGGGAGAGTATGTGACTAAGAACTGGTAACCAGTAACTAGTTGTAGATTTTATGCACCCAGTAATTAGCCTCATTGTATGGTTAAGTTGAACTTCAATAAGTCCTGCATGTGAGCTGTTTATCCATACAGGTGCACAGTATTCCGCTGCAGAGTAGCAAAGCCCATGGGCTGCACATCGGAGAGTTGGGGCTGAAGCTCCCCAAGTTGTTCCGCATAGTTTTTGTAGGATGTTATTTCTGCTGTTAACCTTGGCAGCCATATTCTGGATATGTTTCTTAAAGGACAGGGTCCTGTCTAAGGTGACCCCCAGGTATTTTGGTGTTGCCTCGTATGGGAGCAGTTTGTTATTTAGGTATACATTGAGTTCTCTTTTTGCCAATTTGTTGTTGAGGTGAAAACATGATGTAACTGTTTTACTTACACTTGGGATTAACCTCCATTGGTGGAAGTATGTGCTCAAAGTTGTAAGGTTGGCTGTAAGTACGCCTTCTGTAGCTTCGATGTCCTTGTGGCTATATGCTAATGCCAGGTCATCAGCATAAGAGAACTTTTTTGATATTGTGGGTGGTATATCAGAAATGTATATATTAAATAGAGATGGAGCCAGCACGGAGCCCTGAGGGAGTCCGTTATTCAGGTGTCTTTGCTTACTGATTTTGTCACCCATGATGACTTGAAAGGTCCTTGCTGAAAGCATGTTATTTATTAGGCGGCCCATAGTCCTACAGGGGACAGCGTAGAGGAATTTCTTTAATAGGCCCTCCCTCCATACTGTGTCGTATGCTGCTGTGAGATCCACAAATACAACAGATGTTTTCAATTTATTCTGATAGCTGCTTTCAATATGGCTTGTAAGACTAAGTACCTGATCAACACAGCTCCGATAAGATCTAAACCCAGCCTGTTCAATCGGTATTTGTTCGTTAATTTTCTGTCCGATTCTGTTAAGTATCAATCTTTCAAGTAGTTTATAACAGACACTTAACAGAGCAATGGGGCAATAGTTTTCTGGTTTATTGCTTTCTTTTCCGGGTTTTAATATGCCGATTACCTTGGTTCTTTTAAATTCTGGAGGGAGCCTACTGGAAGTTAGGATATCTGTATAGAATTTTGCCAGCCATTCTCTTGTGCGAGGTCCAGAATGGATGATAAAGAGCAATCATATCTGAACTGCAAAACTCCATCTTACAAAGAGAAGGCAGCAAAGAGATACAGAAAATCCTGATTCTTTGTTATCATTCTAGCCTATCTGTGATTATTGGATTCTTGGGCCTGATAAGTGCTTTGTGGTCTGTACAATGCCAACTATATATTGTTTGCTTTTGCCATTTGGTATTCTACTCTTATTCATTCCCATAGCAACAATCTCATGCTGCCTTTCAAACTGATGCTTCCAGATATATTGGGCTAAATTCCCTTAATCTCTGGCCAGGACATCCAGATTATAGAAGACTATTGTAAAGACTAGCCAATAAGACTTCCATTTCTATAACAGAACAAATATTGTAAAATGCTTCAAGGTCCTTTGCTGATTAATTCTATTCATCTACCTATTTTACTTCTCAAACTCACTCTATAATATGATTTTTTTTTTATTATGACCACACCTAATAGGAACACAATTAAACAGCTAAATAAAAGACAAGAGATGAGGTTTCAGAGCTAAATAGCAAGTTAAAATAAATACCTGTATTTCACTGGCATATACATAGTGTTTTTAAAAATTCAAATGTAATACTGTTAACTTTTTACAAAAACAAACAACTTGTCAGTAAAACTGGCCTTCTGTAGAAGGACTGGAAAGCAGGAAAAGAAATACTGATTTATTTTTAAAAAGAGACTGCTAACCTAATTCTATCTTGCCTAGATGTGTGGAAAGCATTACGGTATTAAAAGTAGATTATTATACTACGAGAAAGAAGTGTTCCTGAGGAAAAATCAGGTAGGCTCTGCTTTATTAACTCTTAACACTATCAATAAGTATAGCAGAATTGGTAAACTAAGTATAATACTGTGTTAAAGAAAATGTTGATATGTAAGGACAAGAATTGCATTTATTTATTAGATTTATATTATTATTCATCCAGCAGTTCAAAATGACATATACAGTATCATGCTTCCTCTCTCTACCTTTTCTCATAGCAATACCATATGAGGTAGAGAGGGCTGAGAAAAGTGAGTGACACAAAATCACCTAGCGATATTCTGTGGTTAGAAATGGACCAAAACCTGGATTTCCTGCTCTACACCATCATACTAGCTCTCAGAAGAGTTCACAGTAGATGCTGGCTTAGATATGAATACCACACATAAATATGTTCATCCACTGATATTAGCAATATTGGCTAAATGAAGATTTTAAACATATTAGCTGAGATTGCAGAACATACAAAACTATGGTATTCTTGGTCAGTTTCATAAATAAACTACAATTCATCAGATTAACAGATAATGCTAAGCCATGTACTAGAGATCAGGAACAGAGGTCCTGTAGGAGTGGAATAGAACAGAAGTCCATAAGCCTACTTATTGGAGAAGGATATCATGGTCAGGGGTGAAATGCTCTCGGTTCGGACCGGATCGTCCGATCCAGTAGTGATGGAGGCAGGTGGTTCAGAGAACCGGTAGCAAAAATCCCTGCCCCCCCCCAATTCCCAGCTGAGCTGCACAATCATCAGAGGCTTTTTTTTTTTACTTTTAAAAGCATTTTTTTCTACAACCTCTTCGGCCGAAAAAATGCTTTTAAAAGTTAAAAAAAAAAAAGCCTCTGATGATCGCATAGCTCAGCTGGGATCATCAAAGGCTTTTTTTTTTAAAAAAAACCCCTTTTTTTCTTTTAAATGTCTCTGACGATCCCAGCTGAGTTTTTAAAAAAGCCTCTGCCGATCAGGCAACTCAGCTGGGATCGTCAGAGCCTTTTGAAAGCATTTTTTAACAACCTCTTCACCGAAGAGGTTGTAGAAAAAATGGTTTTAAAAGTAAAAATAAAAAAATTGGCCATGCCCACCCAGTCACATTACCCCCCACACACACCAAGCCACGCCCACAGAACTGGTAGTAACAAATTTTAGATTTCACCACTGATCATGGTGTAAGTCACAGAAGGCATTGTCAAACCATGCTAGCATTGTATTTATATGTCAAAGCCATGACTTTGTCTTTGAATAAATACAAATAATAGTTGTGAGCATGGATGTTAATGGCTATCGACTGTTAGAAATAGGACACTGGATTGAGTCTTGCCATAATCAAGCAAGTCTGTTTTTGTATTTGTAATGGAGAAGAGACAAAAGGGGGGAAACGGATGAGTCTTACCTCCCTAACCAGCGAGAGATAATAAGAAATGCATTGATCCACTGGATCGTGAATCTTCTTCAGCAGTTGTTTCTTCAGGAAGGGTTTGAATGCCTTGTCAAACATAGCAGGAATGCTAAGTACTACAAATGCCAGAGTATCATCAGAGTACCGCAGTCGCAAAGTTGGAGGAAGAACCTCATTGTACCATCCTACCTTCAGGAGAGAAGAAAAAAAAAGCTAACTTTCATTCTCCAAAAGAAGAAAAAAATAGCAGTTAATGTTTTTTCTACAATCAAAAGATTAAAGACATCTTTACTCCATAATCTGGTGCCATGGGATGTATTTAAAAAAAGGTTAGATAAAACATGCAGAAACTGAACAACAGCTGCATATTTTTCCTAAGATTCAGTTTTCCAAAATTTAAAGATTTTCAATTATATTTCAAGGCCTGAATAGAAACTGAAAGGGTAGAAACAGAGAAATGGGAAGCTGGTTTGCAAATCAGATTTACCTGTTAGGCTAATACTAGAACTAGTTATACAGAATTAAAGTGGGGAGGGGGGAACGAAATAAAACAGTAATCATATCTCAACCTAATAAGTAAATATAAGCTTTTAACAGGATCACTGGTGTTCTTTCTGATGCATCTGTATTAATGAATCAAACAGTTTACTTTTTTTTAACATGGGAAACTATAAGTTTAGGAAACATGAATTTAAACCAGCTTCAAATCATGATTTTATAATGCAAATGAAAACATCAATACCAGAAGTGAAACTGAAGATTTTTAAATTTTAGTTTCAAGTAATTTAATTTCATGAGGACTCAGATTGTTGGGGGGCAATGTGTTGACATTGTAAACCACTTAGAGAAGGCTGTAAAGCACTATGAAGCAGTATATAAGTCTAAGTGCTATTGCTATTGCTATTAATTTCAAGTACTTATTGATTTTCTTGAAAGCTGGAATTAATTTAGAGTTTACATTTTACCTCTAATCCAGAGGCCTTCAAACTTGGCAGTTTAAGACTTGTGGACTTCAACTCCCAGAATTCTATGCTATGCTGGTGGAGAATTCTGGGAGTTGAAGTCCACAAGTCTTAAACCTGCCAAGTTTGGGGACCCCTACTCTAATGTGAGTTAATGACATAGCATATTTGCTCCTTGTGATGTCATAAGGGATGTGAACAGAAGTAAGCAAGAAGTTTGGGGCCTTCATTGAACCATGTTTCATATCCAAAGATGAATTAAAAGGCAAGCAAAGTACTTGGGATCATCAGCAGGAGATTACCAGATGCATTTTAAAAGTGCTACTTGAAGGCAGGTAATAGTGATCTAAATCAGACTGCAATCTGATACTTATTTACTCAGATAGATATGATTACAATTTTGTGTGCATTTTGGCATAAAACTTTAAAAGTAGGTCCTTATATTCCACTAAATGAAAACCCCACTTTTTTTAAAAAAAAGTATGAAGGTTTTTACTGGGGATGAATTAATTCTCAGTAAAATGTTCCAATAATATCTGAGTTGAACACAACATATTGTAGCTTTGTTGGTGAGAAATAAATTGGAAAGAGAAACTGGTAAAGATTCTGTGTGCTTCATAAAGTCACACATACATTTTTTGTTGCAAAAACTCTTATTACCTGCAGTTTCTTTTTACATGTCTGGGTTCAATTACATGGTTTTAACATAGTACATCATTCAAATACAGAAAAGTGGGCTGATTGGATAACCCATGAATAGGGAGAGCTGTACTCAGTAATGCTATCTTGCTTTTGTTCTCCCTTCTCTCTCTAAATCTAAATGAGGATTAAATGATTTAATGGCCTTTGTACCACTATGGGTACAAACCTATGTTTAAATTGTGCTGTCTTTTCAACTCTAGGATGAAACACTTATCCTGGTAGCTGGTGAAACTTTGCCATTATAAGCAATTTTATTCAAGCAAAATGTCAGATATGCTGACATAAGATGAGCCAAATTCACACAAAACTCTAAATTACAATGTGGTTGCCTAGTTTGTGGTTAAATGTTTGTGTAACCCCAGTATGGTTGGATAGCTGACTACTGTATTTTTCAGACTATAAGACGCACTGGAGTATAAGATGCACCTTAGTTTTTGGGGATGAAAATAAGAAAAAAGCTGATTGGGGGTGGATCAGCCTCCCGGAATACCCCCAATCAGCTGTTCCCAGAGGTGAACTTTAGCAACAGGTTTGTTGGTTGCGAGCTCTGCACCTTGCTTTTTTTTCAGCTTCTCAAACAGAGGTTTCAGAGGCTTTTTTCTGGGTGGGGCTACATTCAGACTATAAGACACACCCAGATTTTCACCCTCTTTTTGAAGGTAAAAAGATTTACCCCTCTTTTGGGGGGGGTAAAAAAAAGTACTCCGAAAATACGTAATTTAAAGATGAGTGTAAATTAATTAACCATGGATAAGCATGTTAGATAAGCATACAACGAACTATAAACTGACCACATTTGCTAGGTTCACGTAACACATAAGGCTAGTTTGTGTTCAATAGATCATATCGGTACTCCTCGACTTACAAGCACAATTGGGGCCAGAATTCCTGTCAATAAGTCATTATGGTTGTAAATCAGGTTGGACCTGATGTTATAACAATTTTTACAACAATTCTTAAGCAAATCACCACAGCCATTGAGCAAATCATACAATCAAAGTGACTCCAACTTCCTCGGTGGGCGTTTTTTGCTGGCAGTTGACAAAAAAGGTTGCAAATCACGATCATGTGATTACAGGATGCTGTAACTGGTCATAAATACAAGCCAGCTGCCAAGCACCCGAATTGTGTTCAAGTACCATGAGGATGGTGCAATGGTAATAATGACTTGGTCATTCCTTCTTCCTGTGTCTGCACTGCTAGAATATAGAATTTGGGTTAGTTTTAATCCAACCACACTATCACATAAACCTTTGCCAGGAAGCCCCTTACTCAGCTGAATGGAGTTTTATCCCCTTGTTCCACATGCTTAAAACAACAAGTTCAGTTTTAGAAAAAAGTCATACACTGTTTGCATGACTTAGCAGCAAAATAGCTAATGACATTTTAGTCTGACAAGTTGTATTCCTCCAAGCCTGTGCTATAGTACTATCTTATAGTTTAATGTCATGCAATTGGGCAAAGTAAATTATTATTAATTATGGGTGTGTTGTGAAAATATTGCTCAAAATGGAAGACCTTGTACAAACGCTCTGACCAAGAGAATAGAGCAGATTGCAGATTGCTTATCCTTCTTTTTCCAGAAACTATGTTCTACCACAGATTTCTTGCATCATGATTCCATAAACACATGAAGAGGATTTTTCAGTTGAAGATATAAGGAAAAAGCCACTAGAGCTTAGAAAAGAGAAGGCCATCTTTCAAATTACATTTGTTTTGGATGCCCCTTTCCGCCCCCTCCCCCCGCCCCCCTAGGCCTCTCAATCAATGGAAGCTCCCCTCAGGGCAGCTAGCAGTGTTTCCCAATATGGGGGATAGAATGGCATAATTCACATATGCCAAGCCTTAGTTTGCCTGCCAATTTACTAAACCTCACTTGCCTAAGCATTTGTTTAACACATTAAATCATAAACAAACTGATTTTGAACCCATAGCAGTATGATTCACATAACATGCTGAAGCAAAGCAGAACAAATTTATAATTAAATTATAAATGTAATTATGAAAAAAGATTAGTGCAATGTGTGAATTTAGCCAATAAATATGCATATATAAAAATAGGCTTTTAGATGCCATGCACTACAAATGGTGCTACTGCTAACCAAACATGTATGTTTTGCTTTCCAGGATCACAGATGGACACATGAAACATTACAAATAGCTACTACCTACAGATGTTATCACAATTCCTTACAGTGGAAGGGTAAGTTCCCTTTCTGTGATTAACATATAGTAGTTTGTAGTATAAACTCACTTGTTCATAAACATCTACTGTGCATATAGGTCTTTGGGAAGCAATATTCTTGTAGCTTGTAACTGCATTTTCCCTTTTTTATCCCATAAGAGAAAACAAAAATTTTTAAGTGGGTGGAGGCTCATCCCTCTGAGATAGTTCAAGAGAACAGTACTAGGAGAAAAAGGCATAATGAAGCCTTTTCCTTCTTTGTTTTAGCTAAAGAAATGGACAAACTATTGCTTTCCAAAATAGATGTTTTGCTAATTTTCAGTGGCATGGCTGTAGAAACTCCAGGAATCACTAGTTGAATGCTAGGGGCTGCATAAACCCAAGAGCTGCCCAGCTCTGATCAAGCACTAGGGATTACATATTGCTATTGCTGAACTAAAGATTAGTCACTGCTTTGTCTTTCTTGGCTGCTAATAGGTGCTGAAGTGAGGTTATTACCCCATGCCCTGTGAGCAATATGTCTGGACTACAGTTCAAGCTGAAACCCTGATCCTTATGATTCCAGCTATTCTTCACTGGGGTTGCCATCCTTTTTGACCCATCAGGACTCCTGCACTTTTGCAAAGTCCTCCACAAACAATTACATACACAGGATAAACTGTATCTAACAAGGGAGTGCACCAATTGGATTTAGCAACCTATTATTCTGTTGCAATACTTTCAAATGCACAGCAATTATTTGGAGACATAAAGGAGGGCAAGCCTATTAATGGTGCTGGTTCTACAAGCTGATCTCTGAAACTATTCAATAAAAGCTTGGCTATAGCAATTGATTCATTGTCAGTCTGTGTTAGTTGATGGGGTCCTACGGTACCTACCATCATATGGTTCTAATGTATGCAAGTCTCGAACTCTAAATGGAAGCTCAAAAGACTTCATCTCAGCACTTTTTTTTTTTTTAATTTGATTTATATGCCGCCTTTCTCCGAAGACTCAGGGCGGCTTACAATGTGCTCAGCAATAGCCTTCATCCTTTTGTATATTTATACAAAGTCAGCTTATTGCCCCCACAACTGGGTCCTCAATTTACCTACCTTAGAAAGGATGGAAGACTGAGTCAACCTTGAGCCTTGGCGAGATTCGAACCCTGCAGTAATTGCAGGCAGCTGGTCTTAATAACCAGCTTAATAACAGGGTGCCTTAAACCCCTGTACTACCAAGGCTCTCATTGGAGCTCAAGGCACTTGAGCTCCAATGAGAAAAAGAATGCTAATTCCTGATATTACTTCTGTGATGGACCATGCAATCTCGTACCAGAAAAGAAATCATAAAGATGCTATTCTGCTGAGGCAAGAAACCAAGGAGAGTAAGCATGCATTTGAGTAAATAAAAGTTGTAAGAAATTATTCAAATGATGCAAGAAGTCATGGTTGCACTAATTCATAATATAATTTATTTACTTTTGACTTAACATGTCGCTTTACATTTGTAAATCACTGATTTAGGGTTATGTGAATCCAGCTATTGTGTCTTATTTAAGAAACCACAAATAGAACATTATGTGAACTGACAATGAACAACAGATGAATATTAAGTGTTCTCTTGTTCAGTGAGAAATATTGTTTAGTGAAAAATCACTACTTAATATAATCATAGTTTGGCATTTATAATTGGACCCATAGCATGATATGCCCATTATATATTTTCCTTTCTACAACCTTCTTCCATCATATGTGCACGAAGGACCTGCCTTTTTTGCCTCTAAAATAATTATTTCTGTCCAAGTATGACTTTAGTCAGGTTTGTTACCTTTGACTTTTATTCTTTCCGTATTCAAGCTTGCATTGCCTGTTTATTTCCTAGCATACCATCCAATAAAATTTATTAGCATTGACTCCCAGAACAGTACTGTGCTTGTTTTAATTGCAATCTAGTCCTCCATTTCCCTACACTGAGGCCCTTCCTTGATGAACCTGAATTCAGAGATGCCAGGCATCTGTGTGCACTGTCAAATATATGATTATCTACAGAAAGTGCAATGTCAAACCAGGTTGAGTTTCCACAACCCACTAGACAAAATGAGGTTAACTGATCTGTGGCTCTGGGTGCAATAACCCAGACATCTGTATTAATTCAGGAACCCTTGGTTCAGCTAACTGGGGGTTAATGTGTTGTCTATTTTTATGACTAGCTCATGATTCAGTGAGAAGCCAGCTTTTGTAAAAGAATGTAAACCTGTTTAGAGGGAGCAGTACTGCCTTGCATTTTGATGGGCTCATAAAAAAGCCAGTTATATAGAACATTATGACTGTGTGTATAGTTGATGTTCTGTACATTAATAGCATAGTTGGGCCTACTCATGTGGTAGGGCTGCTGTAACCCATGCCCTAACATTCGTATTGGTATTTATTGTTTTGGTTTGGCTAAGCCAAACTGTAATTTAATTACTTCATATTATCACTGGCTGGCAACTGTTGTGGCAAGATAATAGGGTTGGTTGCCTTGCTGATTTTGAAACACTGACATTCTACAGAACTGGCTTCGCGTTCCTATTGTTTCCAGTATTTTTTTTAAAAAAGTATTTGGCACAATTTACTTGTCTGACATGTTGTATCCCCTAAATAATTTGGTGAAGGATTTCTCATATTTGGTAGCTGATTGGGAAAATATCTATTTGACTTGTTAGAAAATGCAAATAAAATACTTCCCCTTTAAACCAGAAATAGGAAATCTAATTCAGTATGTCTTTCAGCTCTTCAAATGTTAGACGAGACAACTAGAAACAGCAATTTACTGTGTCGAGGTTACCATATATACAATTTTCCTTTGATTGCCCAGGTTATTCAATTAATAGCAATAGTTCTTAGACTTATATATCACCCTATAGTGCTTTACAGTACTCTCTGTGCAAATTATGTCAGCATATTTCTCCCAACAATTTGGGTCCTCATTTTACTGACCTCAGAAGGATGGAAGGCTGAATCAATCTTGAGTACCATCAGGATCACACTCCAGACTGTTGGGCAGTTATCCTGCAATACTGCATTCTAACTACTGCACCAGCATCAATGTTTAACTTGCAAGATAGTGCTACTTGATATTCATTTTCATATGTTATTATTGGCCATATCCCCAATTTTATATTAATTTGTATTTCCTTTTAATGTCACAATATTGATAGTTCTTCAGAAAGCATCTTCTACCAAGTATTTGTACTGTCACTTCACACACTATGCGAGCAATGGTTGGCTTAATCATATTTATGTTTGGTAACATTCTGTGCAATAGAAGTCCATAGCCTAGGAGGTCTCATAAGCCCTACAAAGACTTTGTTGTAGTCCCCAGGAATCTCCAGAAATTGTTACTAAATTATCATTTTAATGTGACAACAGGAGGAAATCATTAACCACATGACTAAACACAATATGGCACTCTAAAGCCCTTGTGTTATCCTGTCATAGATTCTGTATTAAAGTTTATTTGATACCTCACACTAAGTCAAAAATCTGATAAAAATGGGATTAAATGCTGTTTATGAACTTGGACCATATAATATTCAGAACAAGGAATGTTTTTTTCACAGCAGTATAAAATTGTGTAAAAGCATCATAAGAAAAAAACTGTGATTTACAGTACAAATTATAGCAGATGGCTTGGACAGCCTCAATCAAGCCACATTGTGGTTCAGAATTCTATACCAACGCAATCTGAAGAGACAGTAACAACAACAAGCAATTGAGATTTTGTACCCAACCTAAGCAACAGGATTCCTTTATATATAAAAAGGATGCTGGATTACCAAGCAGCATTTGAAATCAACTGTTCACTGGTTTTCTCAAGCTCCTCTGTATCTTTCTCAATAGATATTTAAATGGAACAAAAATTTCAAAAAGAAAACTATTGGTTAAGAAATAAAGCATTGACATGAAGTTAGTGATATTACAGAAAAGCTCAGAAAAAAGAATAAATAATGCAAGAAGATTAATTACATCTGTGTAAACGAACTGGAGAAAAAATGATGCAACAGTCATTTGCTCACAAATAAAGAGGTAACTTGCCAGTTTGATCCATTTATTATTTGCACCATTCTCATACAACAGCATTTCCTAATACAAGTAGTCCTCAACTTACAACCATACATTTATGACGTTTGAAGTTACAACAGCACTGAAATAGGTGACTTATCATTATTTTTCACAGGATAGTTGCACCATCCCCATGGTCATTTAATCAAAATTCAGATACTTGGCAACTGGTTCATATTTATGATAGTTGCAGTGTCCCTGGGCTCATGTGATCACCTTTTGCAACCTGACAAGTAAAGTCATTGGGAAAGCCAGATTCACTTAACAAATCGTGTTACTAACTTAACATCTGCAGTGATTCACTTAACAACTGTGGCAAGAAAGGTCATAAAAGGGGGGAAGCTCACTTAACTGTTTCCCTTAGCAACTGAAATTTTGGCCTCAATTGTGGTCAGAGGTTGAGGACTACCTGTTATCTCACCTAAAAATTGCAAAATTATGCTGCAACAAAACGTTCTGATATGTTGTTTCCACCAATATTAAAAGATTGCCCGCCAATTATATCACACATGAATGCCAATATGTGTAATTTAAATATGTCCAATCTGTAGGAAAGTACAACAAACAGTAAATCAATCATCACCTTAGTCTCTCTCTCTCTCTCTACATACACACACACAGTCAGTTATTTCTTAACATTATAAGCACCGCATAACGTCAAGGAAAGGAAATCCTTTAGTTAATTAGTATACTTGACGAGTTGTATTGGTCTACAATATATTTTATATTTAGAAGTCTGGTAGCACCTTTTCTGACTAACACGTATTTTGTCAGCTACGACTTACGCCTTTCTGCGTGACAGTACAGCGCAATAAAAAGTATATATGCTCTGTCTAGCCCCTAACATGAGCGCGGTACCTTAAACGGATAAATCTCAAAACCCAGATTTTCCAGGAGATCTCGGATCTTTCTCTCCAGATGGACCACATGTAACTCCATGGTGCTCGATCGCCAGGCCCTATGGGAAATGTAGTTTTCGCGGCGCACGAGAAGCCCTCGCCCACATGCCCGGCGTGGTGAGAGGTGGTAAAGCGATCGGGTGGGGGGGCGACTGCCGGCGATGCCCCCTTTGTCTTCCTTCCGAATGTCCCGCGACTGGCTACGACGAGAAACGTCTTCGGTGTCTCCGGGACATCCCCGATCGAGGCCCTCCCAGCAACGTCCCCGCTCAGAGTAATTCAACGGGACGCCCGGATTTTCCCCGTCCAGAAGCCTTCGCGGCGTAGCGGAAGGCGGAATCGGCCAACCTCGGGCTCTTAGCCGTCTGCGGAGGAAGCGCTCAAATCGGCGTCGAGACCAGGGCCCCGGGAGGGCGCGGGCGAAGGCGTTTGCGGCTTTCTTTCGCTTGCTGGCGGTCCTCAAGCGAACGTGAGCAGAACCGGCCTGAGTTTTGGCGGATTGGAGTGGCCGCTGCCTCCTGCTTGGGTCGTCGCCTAAAAAGTCTCCTAGGCCGGTTCCGAGTCTCGCCTCCTCCCCTCTCTCCCCAACCCGGATCGCTCAGGTGACCGCCGAGTTTCTTCCGTTGGCCGGGTGCAACGGCCGAGGGTGAGCGAGGTTAATTGGTGAAGGCGCCTTCCCCAAATGCTGGCCTGGGTCACCGACTCGGCCTGAGGCAGCTTAACTGCGTAGTTTCTGAGGGAAGGTCGGTGGATGCCATTCCCCCAAAGGCAGCCGGCTATGAAGGAATTGGGGCGGCCGGGGCGGGTGGTGGTGGGGAGAACCGTGTCGCTCGTCATCCGTTTAGATTTACTTATTGGTACAATGGCTGCGGGCTCCGCACTTCTTCCCTGCCGCTATTGGTTTAGAGGCGGAAAAGCAGGTGGAGTCAACACGGTGGCGGGAAGGGTAGACAAAAGGATGGCTGCTCCTTTCCTGCGTGCTCTCAACTTGTCTCCCAGCCCCCCAGGTAAGAGGATTCTCCAGACCACCATGTGGGAGGAACAGAGAAATGAGCATCCTCCTGCAGTCCTCCGGGTTTGGTTTGGTTTTTTGGCAAACTTTCCCATTTCTTCTTTTGACGCCTCTTGCTTCCCTCCCTTCCAATGTGGGGGAAAAAAGGTTTCTTCTTTTATGATTGCACCTTATCAGGAAAATACTCCTTGAATAAAACCTCTGCAATGCAAGCCTGCTGGTAAGAGGCCAATATGGGGCAATCCCAGAAGTAGTTCTGTGAACTCAGCTAAGGAAGTATTATTGAAAGTTGACTTCTGCTTTTCCTTGTCATAAGAACATCTTTATTGTGTTGCGTAAAGTACTCAAAAAATAATTTGTTCCCCATTAGAAGCAACTTTAATTTTTCCTGCATGTAAAAAAGAGGTAGCAATACCCAGTTGCTCTTTAAAAAGGAACCCGCCTGGATGGTTTTATCTTTCGATAAGGAAGATTGTTCTGAAGCATGTGATTTAAAATCTGGATCTGGTTCTGTGATTTAAAGAATGCTTGTGAGTCCCTTTTCCAACATGAAAATGTCACTGTATTTCAGTCTGTTTTATTGAAATGCATAACATTTTCTTGTTACAGTAGTACCTGGTTGTGCTGTTGTACATCAATATTAACAACACTTTAAAACTGTTTTCATCTACTGACCATTAAAGAGGTACTTGTCACCTATTACAAATATTTTGCATGTTCCCATTCTCCATCTATTTTGGGACCTTGAAAAAAGAAAATTCTGGGGAGTATATGTTTATACGCCTTTAATGGTATTTTCTATATTGGGCATGCTTTGGCTGCTCTGCAGAAAATTTACAGTGAATTTTATATAGAACAACCTGCAGTGTCATGTCTGCATCTTGTGATGACTTTTTTGTGTGTGCTGCAATATGTTTTTGTGAAGATAACAGAGGAAAATAAATATTTACTCTGACTGCTTTTGCAGATATTCTTTTTCTAGCCAAAAATTTTCCCAAGGTTACAAATGGGTAACCAGTGGATTTCTAAAAGACATCTTTTCCTCAACAGCATGGATTGGGACGCACGCCTCAGTTCTATATTGGTTGAAACAGACAGCAACATGGCCAAAATTAAGGCAAGTTAAGCTGCAGAGCAATATATTGCTTTTCTACTTTGTTGGTGAAAAATATTTAGTGCTTGAGTATTCTGTTTGTATGCACACACATAAGCTAAACATATACTAAATATGTAGATACAAAAACACCTTAAGAGATGTATTCTGTTAAGTGAAAAGATGTTGGTAGTTTCCCCCCCCCAAAAAACCCACTGTCTTTAATACTGTAGCTTTTGACTACCAAGCTTTTCAACATTGTTAAATAGCAGCAGGTGAACAAGTTATAATAAATGACAAAATAAAAAGAGAAAGGATAAAGTGTTTAATTGAGGCTTGACTCCTGGTGACTTTGTAGGGACATTTATATACAATTCATTGACAACAGTACATTAGTTATTTTTAATTGTTTCTTCTAGGGTGTTTTTTCCCTAGCTTGGAAAGTCCACAGCATATAGTATTTTGTGATAGTTTCCCATCCAAGTACTTGGTAGCACTGATCCTGCTTGTTCAGCTACATTCTGCCATTTGCATTGAGGTTATATTTAAATACTTTGATGGTGACTAAAGGGACCAGTGTTTTAATGCTCAATTCAAACAGTAGAGCAACATGACAACATTCTGGACAATGCACTGACCTTTATATTAGGAATGGAAAATGTAACAAGTATTGACTACCTCTTCCTGACTTGTGGTTCCCATTAGATTTGTATTGAATTAATTATGTAGACTCCTAGAGACGTATCAAGATTTAACTTAAGCTACAGGCTTAGTTCAGTAAAACAGATGGGGAACATGTGGCCCTCCAAATGTTTGCTGAATTGCAGCTGTCATCAGTGGTATGAAAAAGTGCTGGGGAGCTGCTAGTGTAGTTTATCTGGTCTGGGTTATCTCAGAGAAATCTTCATCCCTTATATATATTCATATAGTTAGGGATTTACCAACAAACCCTATATCAGCTTAACATCTAGTCTCCAGGAAAAAATACTCTGCAGAATTGTAGAATTATGAAACACCTTGCCTCTAAGGTTTAAAGAGAGACTACCTTGTTTGCAAAGTGGTTATTCTAAAAAAAGCTTAAGAACCTGGACAATGGACCCAAGGCTGTTATTGTAAAGTTTCTTTGTCTTGCATTAGTAATGTTATATATTTTCATTGACTGTAGTATAAAAACATCTTGAGATTTTGGAATTATGAGCCGAGGTGGCGCAGTGGTTAGAGTGCAGTACTGCAGCTACTTCAGCTGACTGCTAGTTCAGCAGATCAGCGGATCAAATCTCACCGGCTCAAGGTTGACTCAGCCTTCCATCCTTCCGAGGTGGGTAAAATGAGGACCCAGATTGTTGGGGGCAATATGCTATTTAGTATACTGTCTTTGGTGTAAGCCGCCCAGAGTCCTCAGAGAGTGGGCGGCATAGAAATATGACTACTACTACTACTACTACTACTACTACTACTACTACTACTAATAATAATAATAATAATAATAATAATAATATATTATGAAATAAAAATGATTATATAATAATGCTGTTCATTGACTTTCTCACTGATGTGGATAAATAAAACAATAGATAAAACACTGATTTCATTCAGATTGGTCCTACTGTGTATTTTCCTACTAGTAAACCATTAGTTCATAGGCTTGAATTAACTTTTAATTATGCTTAATGTTGAGATGATATATTCTGCATTATTTTATATACCGGTACTATATTGAGATAGTGATTACGAAACAATTTTGAATTCTTTTTATGAATAAAGAATGTTCCTTTGAAGTTGCAAATGAGTTATTTTGACTTAAGTTATATTGAATGCATTTTCTCCTATTGCATGCCAATTAAAGTGATATAATAAACGAAAACATTCTATCTCATACTTTTTGTTCACACGTTTTTACAAAACTATAATTATATTAAAGATTCTGATTTGATGGCAATTTGAAGTTGCATTTGTTTCATAATTGTTTCCAAATTGTGTCTTGAAATATGTGATCACTTTCTAATCATTCTGTTTCTTTTTCTTTTGCAGCAACATCTAAACACAGACAGCATCTCTTCCAAAGGTAAAAGTGATTGACATGTTCCGTATATTTTCAGAAGACCTCTTAGAAAGTAGAGATTTTTATAATTTCTTGATTGCAAAAAGTTTTCAGCAAGGGGGAAAAAACCCTCTTGCTAGAATTCTAATGGTAGCTTTCTTCAGATTCAAGGGAGTATATTTTTCAAGCAAACAAAAGATGGTTATCATTTAGGTGTCCTGTTTTAACAGCATTATAGGGCTGGTGTGTTGGAGGCTAAATAGCCATGCAAGGAAAGTATTGAAGCACAGCACCATCTGGAAAGCTATAGATTCCTTATCCTTCAGGCAGAACTTGGTTTGATTTAGTCTGATAATTCTTAATGTTCACTTAATCTAATCAGTGGCAGTGCCATTTACCCCATTTCTAAAAACTGAAATTTAATCCAATTTCCAGGTCATTGGTTACTAACCAACAAAATTAGAACAATTTCTTTCTCCCAGACTTGCAATCTTAAAAAAACAAAAATATGAAGCAAAATGAGTTAGTGAAAAATAATCAATTAAAAATTACTATAATTAACTTCAGGGAGTCAGTTTGGTGTAGTGGTTAAAGCATCAGACTACAAACCAGGAGACTCTGAGTTCTAGTCCTAGTCCTACCTACAAAGTCCTACCTATGAATTTTGAGAAAAAATGACAATGAGGACCTAAAAAACAAACTTGAAATTTTGAACTATGAAGTTGATTGAAAAAGAAAGTTTAGAGGAAACTATAAACATTTTGACTTCTATGTATTACATTTTAGATTCAGTTGCCCGTTTATGGAGTAGTTGTTAAAATGAGAATGAAAGGAAAAAAATTATTTATCATTAACTCAACTGGAATTTATCTCCAGCAATTAAAACAAAATAACACTAATGCTTCCATGCTTGCAAGTTTAGTCTAGTTCATTATTTTTCACCCCTGCAGCTGATTTGTTAGTGGGCAGAATAAATATTGGGAGTCCTGTTCCAACTCAGCCACCCTTGCATTTCACATGTGGAATTCACCCGTGCTGTAGAATGGCCAATGAGGAACTTTCAACTATCAGCCAGCAACTACATTCACAAGCCCAGGTAATTTATACTGAATAGATACATAGTTCTTTTCTATAGGACAGACATAAAGAACTAGATGCATACACATTTTATTTCTCCTTCATTAAGGTTTTTGCGAAGTTGTCTGTAGTTTGGTGATCTCAAATTAATTAATTAAAACAATTTCACCAAAACATTAAGTGCTTTAAATGCTTTAAAACAGTTGAGTAATTGTGCTCAAAAAGGATAGCTCTGGCTTCCAAACTACTGTTTACTATTATTAGCCTGATTCATAATGCTAAGTTATAACATAGTTTTGTTCTAGGCTCCGTGCAGAAAGCAAAATGTATGGCTTATACAAGCCACCAACACTATTTTTGTGGCATCTAGAAATCCTCCAAAGTTGGCAGTGTCAAAATTACAACCCATTTTTAAGAGTGGATGAGAAAATTTTAGGATTCAGATGGAAACTTTAAGCTCTGTAGAGACTAAAGCACCTATTTACAGCATAAAAATGTTTACCTTCTCCAGAATTGGATTATCTTTGTGTTATGGACTACCTATTTTGGATATGTTGACATTCATATGCCTCACAAACCAATGTAGCCTTCAAGCCAAGTAAATTTTCACCCACATTGTTTGGATATTATGTGTAAATTCAGTTATTATAGCTTAATATTCTCTTGGACCAAAATATTATGGCTTATTAAGTTGGGAGAATATAGAAGAGGATAGAGGGAAAGCCCACAAATGATAGCCAATGAAAGGAGGAATTAAATTCGAAGTGAAAAGGAGATGCAAAGGAGGGAAATTATAAATATCTGAATTCCAATCATTTCAATTTTTCAAATTTTTTCATTCTATAACTTTTTGGAACATGTAATTAGGAGATGTTTACTTATACTATGGCTCTGTACTCCTTTCTGTTTCTTTAGATTATAGAGTCACTCACCCAAGCAGTACGTCGGCTCAAACAAGAGAAAGAACAGCAGCAGCAGAGTATCAATCACCTAGAAGGTATGAAAAATTAGCAGTTCTTTTTCCAAAGCTGTTCCTCTTTCTTTGTTGTGACATCTATCTTTGAGACAAAACTTCTCTTCAGAATATTAAAGAAGCATGATTTTTTTAATCCGATTCCCTTTTCTAAATATTTTTTAAATATTTAGGGGTGATTAAGAACGACTTTAAGAAGTTCACAGAAAAGTTCACTCTCTTAGTTTTGAACATTGGTGAATTGGCAGGCAAAATATTTACCAAAAGAGAGTTTTTGCAAACTAAAAGAAAGCCCTTAGGCATGTTAAGGATATTGTTGTGTTACCAACCAGCAGAGTAAGTGCACAGAGAAAAAGTACTGAGAGCAATGAATACAATACATACAAACTGGTTTAACAAAGCTTTTACTTTGTAGTGAAAAACAATTGCATAGTCTTTTAGTCAATCCAAGTCTTTAGCCATTCAAATCAGTCCGAAGTTACAGATATCTTCTTACCATACAAACAGCAATTCAACGCTGGTAACAAATCATGATGATAGCAGATCCATCCACGCCTTCACACACGACAGTAACAGTTCCAACCAGCAAGTCAAGCAATTCTGACCAACAATGACTATAGCTCGGCTCTCTCCTTATATACAGTTTACACTAGTAATTATCCACTTAAGATAAGTGAAGTCAGCAGTGCAATGACTCAACAGTACAATTACTCAGCATTACATCTTAAAGTTACAGAATACATTTAAAGTTATAGAACACATATATTGCCTGGACAACCCGTTAGGCTTACACCATATCCTAACAAGGCATGTAATAAAAGAGGGTTTCTCACAAAATGGAATTCCATAGCCTAGCATGGGGATTTGTGGCCTTTTTCAAAGTGAGGCCACATTTGTTAATTGACTGGTACACTGGAGACTGACCTCCCCAAGGTGAGCAGGTCCTGGACTAACCTGGGTTTAAATTAGATTTATATTAAATATTAATATATTTCTTCCCAAAATTTCCATTTGATCATATTAAAAAAACACAATTCAAAGATAGTCTTTTAAGATTAGAAGTTAGTTATAGAACTCTAGCCTTGGTACATTCCACCCACACAGAATTAATCTCTTGAGAAAATACAAAAAAGAAGGTTTGAAGCAGATAATGGAGCAGATTCTAGAAGGACAATATCTTCACAACCTGGTCCTAATTCGCTTGAGCCTATAAAGGAAATAATTAACAGTTCAATGGCAAAAATTCTCCCATCTTCAGATATAAAAATGCCTTATCAAAACAAAGCTGACACATTCCTTTGAATTTTCCAAACAGCTTCTCTAATCCCAGAAAACTTGTGATTCTGCTTCCCCTGTCCTGGTAAATTTAGTATTTACTATTTATGGTACCTTTGTTGAAATATAGAGGTCTGCCATAATTAAAAATGAAAAAAAATGACTCAATTTCTACTCCTTTAATTCAGAAACATGCAATGGATTTAACATCATTTCAGCCCATAATTAAAAAAAATAATGAAAATTAAAAGAGGTGGATGATATTGAATGGAGAATTTTAGCAAAATTCAGAATTATATCCCATGCTTCATAAAAACTTGAGTTAATACTAAAATAAAAGCAAAAATGGATTTTAAATAATAATCGTTTGAGTATAGTACTATAACCTTTCTCAATTTTTTCTGATCATGTACTGAATATGAACATCTCACTAGCAAGGGAAGTATATAAGTTTCTGTTTATATTATTAAATGCCTCGGATACCTTTTTTTTGTAAATCCTTACTTTGTGACAATGGAATCTGTACATATGTATAAGTGCATAATGTATTCTATAGAGAAAATCAATCGCTATGGAGAATGGTACCTAAATTCTAAGCTATGGAAATTATTTTTGCCTTATTTTTACTACCCTGTTTGTTTCTCCTACAAATACTATTTTGGAGATTTTTTTTCAACTTGTTATTGAAATGGGGATAAATCAATCTCCAGTGGAGTACTTAACACTATAATAACTGACACTAAAGCCAAATACTGTTGTCTGTTCTAGCAGCTAGAATGTGTGGCCTGAGCTAATTTTATTTTTCCTATCCTGGTTATTTATGCAGGTGAAATGAATCGCCTACAGCACAATTCACCTGGTAACTTTGAATCATTGCTGGGATGCAGGATGGAAGGGTTGAAGAATGAGCTCTGCAGCCTTCGACAACATGTGCTTCATCAGTCAGATGGGGATTGTACTCCTGATCTGTTTTCCTGTCCTGGTGTCATGCAAGATACTTTGGAGAGGTCAGCCATTTGAAATAACAACATAAATAACTTGGCAGGATAATATGGTAGGGAACAACAGCTGTAGTTTTCTACTATTATCCAGAATACATGCTTACTGGGATAAACATGCATCCCTATATGTCGAAGCTTGAGTATACCATGAAACTGTTGGATTAGAAGGAATACATTTTTTCTCCTAATAGTGATTTTGACAGTGATTTGCTTGTTATAATTTTGCTTATTATAATTAGGAATGAGTGAGAGCCTGTTTGTCCCAGACATTTCTAGCCCATGAAAAACAGCTGGGTAATTTACTATCTCTCAGTGCATTGGAATTGCAGAGAGCCTATTTGCTATTTTTCAAATTCTGTTAATAATTTAAATCTTGTGTTCATTTTCTAAGGGAGCTTGTATTTAGTTCAGAGAACTAGTCTTTGTCTTGTTGCTGATACTCTTGCTTTTCTTCTTATTCCAGTAAAAAAATCCTATGGCAAGAATACGAGTGCATCAAAAGAGAGATAGATCAGCTGAAACATAAACTTGGCAAGTAATGCTTGAGGTTCCTGCTCCCATAGACTCTTCTGCATCATGCAAAGGACCACTTATTGGTGGAACTATTGAAGAAGAAGAAAAGAGATACGCAGCTTTTAAAAAATTTATATTTTATCCATTAGATTGCCAAGAAGAGGAACTATACAATCAAGTTTCTGCAACTCATGAGATTAAGAGAATCCAAAACCGGTACTGTAAGGTACAACTATAAATACTCTATTAAATACAATGATTTAATGCTAACAGTGTTACGCCCACATAAAAAGTGAATTCAATCTTTGTCTAATAAAGCTTATCTATATTATACACTCAAAAAAGTTGGAAGTGATGTGGAGGATCACAGTGTAGTTCTTAGCCAAATCTAAGGAATACATGGAAAAATTAATCATCTACCCATGGCTCATTTGCCCAAGCATTTTTTCTTTCTTAAAATAGTTTTTTTATAATTTGGGGGGAGGAGCTACACAAAGCTGCTGTTAGTTTGGTTGTCTGTTTTTTCTTCTAGCATCATCAGGAATGTCTGTGCAGAAATAGGATGGAGTAAGAGGAAAACAGATGATATCAAGACAGTACTATGCTGGGAATGAGCATATGCAGCCATCAATACATTGTATTTTTCCAACTACATAAGCATAATATAATATCATGGCAGCTGCCCTTTTAGCTTCCTCTTAAGGCTGGAATTTAGTCATAATGTGCTATAAGAGTGTGAATATAATTTGCCAATTTGTTTTCTGTATACTAATATATATTTTTCTTAGTTGTACAGATAAGTAAATGAATCATCTACCTATAAGAAAAATTTCAATTTCAATTTCAATTATTTCTTGTTCATCTTAAAAAACTAGATAAAACTTATATTTACAACTACACTTTTATGTCCTTTCCAGATGTTGGAAGAATTAATAAACACTCATAAAGCTCAGGTTCAGGATTTTGGCAAAACAAGGAATGAAACTCAGAACACCCAACAGGAGCTTAATGTTGTCAAGTAAGCCATTCTATACTGTGTTTTGTATGCTTTAGTGAACATGTGTTCATATAGAGCTTCAGGAAAGATTGGGGAGAAGAACATGGTGGTTAAATTCTGGTGGTTATTTTTGTGATTCAGAAGACAATGTGGTGGTAAAGGGGAGAAATGTCAAGTTAGGAACTAGCAGGCAATTGCCCACCAGGTGGCTGGTTCCCTGTTTACATAATGAGTTTACCAACAAAAGTGCCTGGCCACTCCATGAATTTGCTGCATCCAGAGAAAATTGATTGATAAGATAAATTGCCTTTGTTCTGTTCCCTATTGCAATTTTGAGCCTTTTGCCTTTAACATCAGCATCTGTCAAATAGGTTGTGTTTCTGACCACAAGCTATAAAATACTTATTTTTTATATACTGCAACTCTTCGAATTCTTTAAAACTGCCCTGAATTTAAGTTCCTTTGGAACCATTACTACTATGGATTTTATTTCTTTTAATCAGATCTACAATGACTGATCTAAAAGAACAGGTGAAATGTCTCAGCTTAGAAGACAAGTATACTATGCAACCCAAGGAGGATAGCACTGATCTGGGTAAGTGCTGGTTTGTACAATATTACAGAATAACAAGAGTTGGAAGACACCTTGGGGCAAGGGTGAAATGCTCCCAGTTCAGACCGGATCACCCAATCCGGTAGCGATGGCAGCGGGTGGTTCGGAGAACCGGTAGCAAAAATCCCTGCACCCCACCACCCCCGCCCAGCCCCCGTCCATCTGAGCTGCGCGATCATCAGAGGCTGTTTTTTTAACTTTTAAAAACATTTTTTCTATAACCTCTTCGGCCGAAAAAATGCTTTTAAAAGTTTAAAAAAAAAGCCTCGAAGAGGTTGTAGAAAAAAATGCTTTTAAAAGCCTCTGACAATCCCAGCTGAGTTGCCTGATCGTCAGAGGCTTTTAAAAGCATTTTTTACAACCTCTTTGGCCGAAGAGGTTGTAGAAAAAATGCTTTTAAAAGTAAAAAAAAAAAAAAAGTTGGCCATGCCCACCCAGTCACATTACACCCCCCCAAGCCATGCCCACAGAACTGTTAGTAACAAATTTTACATTTCACCACTGCCTTGGGGATCTTCTAGTCTAATCCCCTGCTCATATAGGGAACCCCGTTACCATTTCAGACAAATGGTTGCCAAATCTCTTCTTAAAAACTTTCAGTGTTGGAATATCCACAAATTCTGGAGGCAAATCATTGCACTGATTAATTTTTCTAACTGTCAGGAAATTTCTCTTTAGTTCTAGGCTGCTTCTCTCCTTGATTAGTTTCCTTCCATTGCTTCTTGTCCTGCCTTCAGGTGCTTTGGAAAATAGGTTGAATCCCCCTTCTTTGTGGCAACCCCTCAAATATTGGAACACTGCTATCATATCATCCTTAGTCCTTTTCATTAAACTATACATACTCAATTCCTGCAACTGTTCTTTATATGTTTTAACCTCCAATCCCCTAATCATCTTTATTGCTCTTCTCCATACTCCTATCATGAGGGTTGTACCTGGTTAGAAGAGATGCACATGATCCTATGTAAAACATTGTATAATCAATGAAATGATCTGACATAAGCTAGACACACTAATACTTGGGATCTACCTTAAATGTAACCTGAACTTCTTACCAGTCAACAATAGAACATGGTTGCTAGTTAGCTATTAATTTATTTGATATATAGCTCTCTTTTCTAATCTGGGAAGTACTTAAAATGAAATGTTTTGAAAAATAAAATCATTCAATAACCTATGTAAGAGATGTGCCAATGCAGATTTTCTAAATAAAGTGAGAGCAAAATGCAGCTTCTAAGGGCTGTTCAGTAGTCTGAAAATAATGCAGGAGGAAGCTTTCTTCAATGTACCAGAAAGGAGTGCCTTTGGCAGTGGAGACAAATATGCAAAGGCCCTCTCTACAAGGGTCCTTTCCTATTTTATTTAAAAATTAAGCTAAATTATAGATCTTAACAATCAGACCAAATTGTAATGGGAGAATCAGATCCAAAGCCATTTAAAACTTCAAAAATCAATGTTAGCTGCCTAAATTGTGCCTGGTAAGCAGCTGGCAATCAATGTAAATCTTTTGGTACAAGCATCCTATGTTCCCTGTGTTTTATACTAGTTAGCACCCTCTTATCTTCTCTTGCTAATGATATACAAGTTCCAAAGAGGGCTACGGTTACTATGATATAGCATTCTGGTTGCTAGAGAATAGATATGATAATCTCTCTTTTTCTCAGTGAGGGACTGGCAAGGGAGGGAGCAATTTTCTAATATCCCCAGTGAATTAAAGGCAGAAAATAATTTAATTTTGACTGTTTTCTAGAATTATCTGCTTATATATCAGATCCTCTTTTACCGGTAGTAATAAGATAGATACTTCCAATTAGTCCAACTTTTAATCTGCTTTTATATTGAAAAGCAAGCTATAAATCCATTACTAATTTAAAATGGCCCTCAGGCAACAATGGAAATTCAATATAATCTTTTAACTAGTGTCCTTTAATATAATCTGAAAAATATCATACCTCTAACATTCCTTTCTTTGAATACTAATGTTTGTATAACATTAAAGTATTTCCTAATTGCTTCATGTTGCAAGTAACAATGTGCAGCCAATACAAATGGCAGAGATGGAACAAAGTGCACTATTGTCTTTTTAATGTGTTTTTATTTATTCACTAAATAACATATTGCTTTGGAAAATAGAGCCTGTGGTTATGAGTTGTTGCTGGATCCCTGATCTCTCATTGTTTTGTCTGCTAGAAAAGAATGAAGAGTTACTGCATGAAGAAGACTTATCTTTCTCCTTTAGTAGTGATGATTCCATCTCTGAGTTCAGTCTCACAGATGTCAGCTCGGATGAACTTTTCAGTGAAACAGAAGATGTACAACTTGTTGGTAGGCACTACTTTATTTTGAAATACTGAACAATGATGTGGCTGCGGGGAAGGTGGGGAGCCAATACTAAAAAGATACCTCTTTCTTTCTCCACTTCTTGAAACTTCAAAGTCTATTTCATCACACTGGGGGAAAAAAACAATATTTTGGGAGACTAAAAGGATTAACATTCTCTTCCAAGAGATTAATACCATTTCATTAAGCTGTTCAATGTTCTCATAGGCAGGATTTGGAAGAATGGTTTTCCTAAATTTATGTGGATTTTGCTCTGTTCTAATCCTGCTAATTTACTTTTTTTTAAAAAGAAGAAGATGGGCAGTTCCCAGCTTCTGTACATCTGGTTCCACTCCTCCATGCAAGAAGCTTCACGTACTTTGCAGCTTCACTAGCTCATTGTGCCATATATGTATGCCTTTGATGTCAGCTAAAAGACCCTGTTTTTACAAAGATATACTTATTATTTAACAGGCTGTTTTAAAGCTCTTTTCAAATGCCCCACTTGCATCACTTGGGGAAAAGAAAACCCACTAAAAGTTTGTACCACCCAGAGTTCATAGGAATTGGGCAGCTAATAAATTAGGTGGCTAATAAATTCAAATAAATAAAGGGTCCTCTTGAAAATGTGTTAACTTATTTAATGGTTCATAGTAATATGCTAATTACACTTGTTGTACCTTTTAGATGACAAGGTTTCTATACCAAGTTTGAAACTGGAGAATATCCCTGGAGAGGCAATTGGTGGCATGTTGGAGAGGACAGAAATCAGCAGTGAATTATCCACCAGTTTGCCTGAGCTGAACTTCAGTGACCTTTAAAGCATCATTTAAGGGCTGCCTCATGCTTTTTAATGAGGAAACAAATTAAAGAGAGGAAAAAACATGAGTTGTTTTCAACATGATACGATGCTTTTGTGCAGATATTGCACGAGGTAGGAGGAGGAGTGATCTTAGCCCATGTCATGTTGGTATGTCAGGATTTGCTGGATAGATCTGGAATCATTTCAAGGACACAGTGTTAATAGCTTCCAGTGTCTCTTTCTAGAAATGAAACAATGGTATTAATTAATCCCAATGTACATCAAATATGATATATATCTTTTTTTTCCAAAACTTAAATAGTCTGTAACCTAACACAGGCAAAAAAAAATATTCTGGAAGTTAATTCATCTTAAACTACAAAGCCTGTTAATTTGGTCAGTATCTGTAATCCAGGAAAGAAGGAAACATCTACTAAAGGACAGAAGAGCCTATACTATATTACATGTATGAAACCATTAATTTGCCAGTGCACCAGCAGGTGATTAAGACAAACTTTGCTGTATATTGGATGCATGTTACAGTTTTGTGGTAGTAGACAAATTTTCTGGACAGTGGGTAGCTCATGTCTTGTTCAGGAGCAGCTGGAATTATTGGATAATTCTGGGTGTGCCCATCTTGTTTTCTTCGCCACTGAGCTGTTACACTGTAGTCTTTGGAGTCATAAGGGAACTAATTTGTCTAAGTGACAGTGTGTCCAAGATTACTGATTTTGGATTAGATGGGAAAGAAATCAGTGTAGCTTCTTAATTATCATGCCTTCAGTCATGTTCAGTGAATGGCAAATGTTAAAATAAAATCTAAAAGTCATGCTATAGTTAGGTTTTTATCCAAGTTAAAACTTAGCCTATATTATTTAAGTCAATGAGGAAATACGTCAAAGTACATGTGGATTTATTTGTGATGAAGTTCTCCTTAGGTTGCATTGTTCACTACACTTTTGAATAGAAGAATATTGCAATAAAGGTTACTTTCTCCTTGACAACTTTATGGTTAAAATCATACACGCATGCAAGACATCCTTGCAACTTTTAAAATGAAAGATTTCCAGTTGTGGGAATTATTAACAGAAAAGTCATGAGTGACTTGAAAAATAAAGCTACAGTATAAGAATATAGCATATTAGGTGTCTCTAATATTACATCTCTCAAATGTGTAATCTTTGCATTTTTGTTAAAGTCTGGATTTAATTTGTGCAGTGATGCATTCTTATTGATTTAAAAAACAACTTAAAAAATAAGGCATGTTTTCCTCGCCAATGTTTCATCTTGCTTTTCTCAGTATATGGGATTCTCATTTTACTCATGGAAGTAGAAAAGCATATTGAGCAAATAAACTTTTTGAGAAAACCATTATTATCTGAATTGCTATCCCAGAATTCTTAATCAGAGAAGGTCCCACACTTAGGCATCTTTATAGTTACAAATTAACTAATCAGAATAGATTTATGCAAAAGCTGTTTATCTTTTTCTGAACCATCCAGTTTCAAAGATAAGATTAAATTAATTTTGAATTGCAGCTCTTACAGTTGCATCTTTTTCCAAGGTCTAGATGGAGTAGAGCCTGCTAAAATTGTCATGAAGTCCTCAATCTTATTCTGATTAACAGAGCCCCTGGAATTCCTGTAGGTATGACATATCAGCATACTGTACAAAGCTGCATCTCTGTGTTGAAAAAGTGCCTTGAATAGGAACCACCCCAATCTCAGGGTAAAAGTAATTTCAGAAGAGGAAAAGGGTTACAGGCAAGGGAGAGGAGAAAAGGTGAGGAATTAGCAACAGGAGATTTAATCAGTGGATAGTCCAATAGTTCAGAGAGTGATGGGAAGAAGCAAGGGTTGATCCCACACTTTGCATTCATGATCTGTTTGCTTCAGATTTGGGGAAACATAGATAGAGAAGTCAAATTCAGTGATCTCTGGACAGAACAATTTATCATAATGAATGTAGCTGATTGTATTAATGCAATAAAGCTTGCATGTATTCATCAATAAACTGGACTTTGATAGAAATAATCTTTTCTGAAGTTTAGTTTTTGAACAATGAGGAGGGATTAGGAAGAGAATAACTAGTTTTCAAGTCCTTGGAGAACATTGATAGGATGGAAGGCACAGATTTCTGAGAGATCGCATGCCAAAAGGCAGGTGTCATGACAGGGTAGGCACACTTCCCAGGTTCCAATATTGTAAATGACACTAATCAAAGAGACCCAGAGTGTGCCAAATATACTGGCACATACTGGCCAGGCTGAAACTATGGAAAATTAGTGGTTCATGAAGTAAATTGGCCCTATGCCATGTAGGGCATTACAGGTAATAATCACCTTGAACTGCAGTCAGAAGCAGACTGGCAACCAATGCAGCTGTGGACAGAGATGTCATATGACATACTAAAACATGTTCAGCATTATCCAAGCTGCTACATTCTGCACCCGATGTTTCTGAGTGATTTTCAAGGGCAGCTCCATGTAGAGTACATTGGAGTAGTTGAGCCTTGGGTTGTCACAGGGATAGATGGATGACTATCTGAAAGGACACAACTTGTGCACTAGATTGAGCTGAGTGAAGCCCCTTCCCTCATTGCACACCCTGCGAATGTGCTAGCTCATACAAGAGTATGGATGGAAGGTTCAGGGGGCCCTAATATCTACAACCACTCAGTCTTGAAAGGATTAAGTCAGTCATTTCCTTCCCATCTAGGCCCACACAGCCTCCAGATACTCAGCCAGGATTTTAGCAGCAACACTTGGTCGGTTTGGAATTGAGAGATATAATTGGGTATTGATATATTCAAAGTCTAATTGCATTTGCAGTGTTGTAAATGATTCAGAATAAGAATCTACTTAAGTAGGTTTTTCTTCCTCATCCTTGAATATAACTTATTTTTAAGCAAACTTCTTCAATAAATTTTTAAGGCCATGAATTTTCTGCTCTGCAGTACTGTACTGATAATTTATCACAAGTACATAAACATATAATGCACAGTAGGGCTACTATACAGCTAAAATGTAATGATAACTAAATTGTAGCAAAAAGTTTATATTGTGTATCATCCTATTGCCATCTAGTGGCTATCTATTTTTGCAGCCTGGGTCTGATAGCTATACCATAATGCATACTGCAATAGCAAACAGATTGGTTGCAATAATAGAGTTTCTTTTATTTTGATTAGTGTCCCACCCTTTCTAGCTTCAAAGGTAACCACTGAAAGTTATTTCTAGTTTCTTGCCAATGAACAAAATTATGCCTGAGCCTGGAATTAATAAAAATTAACCCACAGAAACTATCAAAGCTTTCTGTCACCTTCAAAGGGATCTATAAGGACTTGGCACATTGCCCACTAATGCTGTTAAAAGAGTCTACTACTTGTGAAGTGAAATCGAGTACCACTTTGTTCTAGCCTCAGGGAAACTACAACACTAAAGGAGACAGCTGAGCTTAACAGAACAAGTAGAAAATCCTCTGCAGACTTGCCTAGGAATTCCTTGATACATTTGAGGCCCAACATCATTGAAGACCTTCTGAGAAATAGCCTAGTACAGGGAGAGGGAACCCTTTTTGCAAGTGAAGGCTCTTTTTATTTATTTTTGGTGCTGAAGACCATAGAAAGCATGGCAATGATGCTGGACAAAAAATCTCAGATAAAATCACTGGTCTTGTTTTCAGGAGAGCTGTTAATTTTTAGAAAATTAAGCTTAATAAAAACATTTGGGAGCTAATGCTATTATTACATTTCTGACATAAGAATATATTATTTGGTGACTTCCTAATTGTTGTAGGGAAAATAGGAGGAAGGAGTATTAGGTGTGTTTACTGCCTTGAATAATAAAATGATAAAGGCGGGATAAAAATCTAATAAAATAAGAAAAGGTGATCTTGAAATGAAGAGCAGACCCATGATGTTACAGGCTGGTTAAAAATTGGCTCTGAGGTTGTTTTATCCTGCAAAAGATCCACTTGCCGCTTAGAGATTCTAGTACAGAGATCCTCAATAAGTATCACTTTCGGGCTTCTCTATTTAAACTACCCCAATCCCAGAGTAAGTTGCTAGGTTCATAAATCATCCTGCATCCATTTTTTAAACGTGATATCTTGACTAAGCTACAAGTTTTCACACTATGCCAAGCCATAAACTTTGGGTTAAAAACCTCAATTGCTGGGTTTACCCATCTTATTCAGTATAACCAAATAAACAACATTAAGCTTTATTTTTAGTATATGAACCCAGCTTGTACATGAAAACATAGCAGCTTTTGAATATGATGAACAACATGAATTGTCTAACCTTTGACAGAAGAGTAAGAGAAGGGGATAAAGACTGCATGTGGAAACAGGCAAATTTCAGATGATCATGCCTTTCAGTAGACTGTTCGAGCTTGGTAAATAGTAGCACAGAAAGCTGGATACAGCTTTCAAACAGCAGCACCAAATTAGTGTTATTGCACAATCTTATTGTTCCAAGCATTATCAACAATACTGGCAGGATTAAACATATAGTTAGATAAAACATTTAGAGTGACAAAAAACATATTGTGTGCTATTCCTTAGTATTAAATAAAGGAGTACAATTTCCTCAGTAAACTGATATTAAATTGAGTGCTGAATTCAGTATAAACTACAGATGCTTTTATTCCCTGCAAAAACACCATAAACCAGAGCACGGAAAGGGGCTTCAGTAGCAATAGTCAGACTATGCAGTGTGAATACTGAATACCATTAACTGGAGTAGAGGATTATTGCTTTCTAACTTTGTCTCAACTTGCTAGAGAGATTTGCATGGCCCTATACGAAAATGAATGCTGGACTAATTTTCTTAGTATAATTCAGAGGGCCCTGATTAAAAGGATGAGATCACTGCTTCCTTCTGGATCATGTTTTAAATCTTGATAGAAACATGAAGTGTAATTCAAAGAAAATAAGAGAGCCAACTTCATTTCCCAGTCACAGTTTCATTGCATTTCCATTCTCAAGAAACACATCATATTCCATATATTTCATATTTTTTACTTTTTGTGAAAAAAGCACCCCATACAGTGTATTTTCTCAGAATCCAACAAACCTATCTTTGATATGAAGCCAGCAGTTGAAAAGATAGTTGATTTTTTTTTTCTCTAGCATTGCATGTACCCAGTCACAGAAAATGAAGATGTATTGAGGAAAAGGTTTTGGTTAAGCTGATTCTCAAAAATAAAGAAAAGGACAAGCATTTTTAAAAAGTAAGTCATTTGACTTGCAACTCTATAGTTATTTGCATGTCAGTACAGCAGCTCCAAATTGTAGAGTTGCTCCCCAGTTGGGATCCTTTACAAGCTTTGTAGCCTTTAACAGGTTCTGTTTTTTTTAAGTCTTTCAATTGTTTAGTAGCTGTAGAGGGAAAGAGGTGTGTCTTCCATCATGTCATCCTGTAAGAAAGAAAAAAAAATTAATTTTGTGCTAGCCAGATATTAGTGAGAGATGTCTAAGTTATGTACTATATATATTCTTAGTAACTTCTGAACCATCGCTTAATGAATCTGAGCCTCTGCCATCTCAAAGAATTGCCCTTTGGAACAGACAGACCAGGCAACTAATATTAAGGTACAGTGGCAGTGAGGCCATATCCCGTCTAGAGGAAAAATAACAGAACAGGTAAAAATCCAGCAGATGCTCACCATAGGCAAGTCCTGGAGACGTCTAAATCGTAGTCTATTGCCACGTTGTCGATACCTCAAGAAACCCAGGAGAGTCAGAATCCCTACTGTCACAACAAAAATTACAACGACAGCAATCACGAGGGGATCCTTTCCTATTGGACTGACTACTGGTATACTGGGCAGACCTGAAAGCAAGAAGAAGACAGTAAAATGTAGTTCATCTTTTAAAGCTATGAAGGTTCATTCACCCAGCTACCTATTTTAACAATCAAAGGAATACATTCAGCTGCATAACCCAAATCCAGCATTATATTTAATATTATTTATACAAACTTGCAGTGCCTCGCCCAACATATGTTTCCCCTAAAACTATTTTCAGGCAAAAGTACCAATTCCCAACCTAATTTGGAGATGTCAGAGACTGAATAAGTAATTTTTTGCTTCTTTTTGCAGAGCATATGCTTTGTCACTGTGCTATATAGTTCTCCCATAGTTTCATCCAAGATTGGGTTTAACTATTTCTCGGTTCTCATCAACCCATTCTAAATCTGTTGTTCCCTAGATGAGACAAGATTGCTAAATGTATACCTTGATTGTTTCCCACATCAAATACAGTTGTCTTGTGGTCATGTTTAGCTGGTTGCTCTGTCTCTGCTGATAGGATTTTGTGAGGTAAGAGAGTAGAGGAGGCAACCTCAAATGTTACTGATCGAGAAGTATTGGATGTAGTTATTGTGATCACTTGTTCACCAATAGTAGTCCTTGGAGATGATGTGGAGGCAACAGTGTTCTCTTCTGTGAAAGCCTTATGGTCCATGACTGGGGTGGTATTTTTTGCTGGTCCCATGGTAATGAATGTAGAAGATTCCGGCTGCAAAGCAGCTGATGTTCCTGCATAGAAACATTTAACTGTCAGTACAGTGGGGGTGGGTGAGAATCTTGACTCTGCTTAATTCAGAAATAAAGAGAATCTACTTTGGCCAGACCTTTTCTGAATGTTTCTACAGTTCTAACATAAATCTTGGTAGTTATCAAATCTAATCAAAAGTATGTGAATAAAGCAGGTCCACAGTTAGATTCCAGTCTTGGGAGCAGGTTCTGTGACGATATCTAGGGCACCATGTTGCTGTTATCAGGAAAGAATTTGATCTTATTGGACCCCAGAAAGCAGGCAGGGTCCTCATGACTGTGAGCTCAGCCACTTCTATATTAGATCCATTTTCATCCTGACTGACAAAAACCATGAACAATGTTTTATGTTTTTACTGGTTGTGTATTACAGTTTGTATAATATACTCTCTGGAGCCATCCAAAATTCTGGAGCCATCCAGAATTGGCTGAAAGATGGGTGGCTATATAAATGTTTTAAAAAATAAAATAAAATAGATAAAATAAAATAAAATAAAATAATAAAATATTGATATGTGGCTGGTTGCTGGGTGCTAGTAGTGGTGAGTTCTTTCTTGAATGAGGAAGAATTTGATGTCTCATTTGATGTCACAGCACTTTTACATCCACAGACCCAGAATTTGCCAAAGAATCCATGACAGCATTACTACATAGCACACAACCAACCTAACCAAATAAACCAAGATTGAAATACCCAGAATCATGAATCTTATCAACTTCTGCCTAACCATATACAGATAGTCCTCGACTTACAACAGTTCATTTAGTGACCATTCAAAGTTATAATGGCAATGAAAAAAATGATTTATGACCATTTTTCACACTTATGATTGTTGCAGCATCCCCATGGTCACATAATCAATATTCAACAACCATGTTACTAACTTAACAACTGTAGTGATTCACTTAACAACTGTGGCAAGAAAGATAATAAAATGGAGCAAAACTCGCTTAACAAATGTCTCACTTAGCAACATAAATTTTGGGCTCAATTATGGTCATAAGTCGAGGACTCCCTGTACTTTCAGTTCAACAGACAAATATATCAACAAATCAAAGGAACCCATATGGGATCACTACTTTCAGGAATAATTGTAGAGACTGTATTGCAATGCCTGGAATCAATAGCATTCCCATATATAGAACTTAAATATGGATCAGGTATATAGATGACATTCCTGTCATAATCAAAAAGGACCAACTAGAGAATACAAACGAAACCATTGACAAAACTTCAAAGGAATAAAATTCACTAGGGAAGAAGAAAACAACATCACACTATCCTTCTTGAATAATCTATACATCATCTTACAACAAAATGGATATCCACACAACTGTTATGGTTCCGTTGCCTGAGCCTGGGCTATCGACAGATGCAGACTCTGACAGTGAGGGGGAGGAGTTGGCAAGGCCTCCCTCTCCAGGACCCTCCTCTCTGGCAATGCCTCCGGAGGACACCGAAGGCCAAACGATAGGCTCAGAGCCAAGCACGTCCCCACAGCCATAGGTGAACAGCGACGAGGAAGATAAGTGCTGGCTGGACCCTCGACAGAGGCGCAGGGAGAAGTGTGCACAGCAGATGGGAAGGCGTGCCAGAGATTAGCTGAGTCACTGGACCACACCCCACAGGGTATAAATGTGGGTGTGGTGGCCGGTTCAGTTTGTGACGAGCAAAAACTGGAAATACTCCATGATCTCTGCATTACTGGACTTTGCCTGCTTTATCGGACTGCATTTGGACTAATTCTTGTATTATTGACACTCTGCCTGTTTTATCGGAATGCTGCAGTCTAATCTTTGTTTTGTGTGAGTAAAGTCTGAATTGGCAGCTAACCACTGGGTTGCTGCCAGCTTTATCATCAAAGAGTTTTGTCGTGTGGCTTATTAACTCCGGGCCGTCTGTGGGGGTGTGTGCGTGGTACGGGGACAGAACAACAACATCATCAAAAGGTGCCTGACCACTCAATCCAATATTGCACAACCAATGTTGTAAAAAGAATAACACTGCCATACATCTTCAAAACATCTTCGAAACCATCAATAGACTATTACAACCACATGATATCACCATAGCACCCAAACCAACCAAAGCCATCCAAACATTCTAAGTAAATCACAAGACGCAGCACCCTGGAAGAAAAAACAAGAATCATTTACAGCATACAGTGTAAGGATTGCAGGAGCCACTATGTAAGACAAAAAGGCAGAAGACTAGCAGATCATCCATGAACACCAGCTAGCAGTCAGAAGACATAATGAAAATTCCTTCATTTCATAACATATGGGCAAACCCAGTGGTGGGATTCAGCCAGTTTACACCACTTCGGGAGAACCAATTGTTAACTTTCTGAGCAGTTTGGCAAACTGGTTGTTGGAAGAAATCATTAGGGCAGAGAACTGGTTGTCAAATTATTTGAATCCCACCACTGGGCAAACTTAATCATAGTTTCAACTGGGAAACTGAGTATCCTAGACAAAGTCAGGTCCAAAAATGCTAAAGATTTCCTGGACATTCAAACAAATCAGCCATCAACAAGCACCTAGGCATAAGCAACATCTACATACCATTCAAAAGAGATAATTACAAAGCCAAAAAGGAAACAAAAAAGACCAGAAAGCTTCCTCAGGAGCAATCAACAACACTCAGATGAGCAGAGATTAACATCAAGATTAACATTAGAGGAACAATCAAGAAGCAAACAATACCTCAATCAAGAAATTGCCAAGCAAGCTAACAGTAAACAACAGCCCAATCAAAGAATCACCAAGACCACTCCTACCTATACTGACCGGGCAAGCCACTGGGATATAAAATGAGAGTAAACCCCATTCCCTACTAAAACTGATGATGTTACCTAGTTTGGTAATGAAACATCTGTAAGAAAATTACCAAGCTCAGAGAGTACCACTTCAATCCTGAGCTACGAATTTTCCCTTCTATCGGTAACATATTTTTTAGAACACTGAGGCCACAGAAATATTTGACCATAACTCTGCAAACTTAGTGGGTATTTTTTTTTTTTAGCTCAGATGGTGTTCTTTTTCTTTTTTTCCCATTTTTTGGAAAATATGGAGTATCTAATTGTAATCTAATATAATGCTTTTACAGGCTGTGACTGTGAAACAGAATTAGTTGATTCATCCCGGCCATATTTATTTAAACTACCTACCATGATAAATTATTGATAACTGCCCAGTCTTACCTTGTGTCTCATTTGATTGCAAAATTTCTGTAGCCGGGATCATAGTGCTGGAAGTAAGCAAGGATGTGGCATTGATGTATCTTCTATCATCATCCAGGTCAAATGTATTAGTTTCCGGTAAGTTTGTAGTTGGAGTAAGAAATAAAGAAGGATCAGTGCTACTATTAGAGGCATTATTTGCAGTCTGGGTCTGTATCCTTGCTGTAGTATTCAAATAGCCAGGTGTAGTAGTGGTCAGATAATCCGACTGACCAATGCTGCTGACACTGACTTGTGGGATGCTTGTGATAATGTCATCCCTACTGGTGGCTGTGGCTTGGAAGCTTCTAGCCTCAGTGTGACGAAGTGTGAACTGAGAAATTATGCTGGATGAAGCAGATGACCCATTCTTCCCATCTCCTAGTACAGAAAAAACAAACAGGAAAACAAAATTTGGCAGCATCTTTACAACGTATGTCCTTCCCTAGAATATCAGCTGGAGAAATAAGTAAAAAAGGGAAGAAATAGATCCATATCCAAAACAATTGCTGTGAAAGGGACAGCAAATTGGGGAGTAAGTTCTTTTCTAACTGAACTCTTTTCAGAAATTACTACAGTTGACATTTTTTATTTATTTATTTATTTGTCAAGCATATATAAGATAACAGGTAAAAGTATAAACATAATTTGAATACATAATTTGAAAAGAGTAAGAGTAAAAAGGAATATTAGGACAGGGATGGTAGGCACGCTGGTGCACTTATGCACGCCCCTTACAGACCTCTTAGGAATGGGGTGAGGTCAATAGTAGACATTTTAAGGTTAAAATTTTGGGGGTTTGGAGAAGAAAGCACAGAGTCAGATAGTACATTCCAGGCATTGACCACTCTGTTACTGAAGTCATATTTTCTGCAACCAAGTTTGGAGCAGTTTACCTTGAGTTTGTATCTATTATTTGCTCGTGTATTGTTGTGGTTGAAGCTGAAGTAGTCATTGACAGGTAGGACATTGTGGCAGATAATTTTATGTACTACACTTAGGTCAGACTGAAGTCGGCATGGTTCTAAGTTGTCTAAGCCCAAAATTTGAAGTCTGGTGACATAAGGTAATTTTATTGTGAGTAGAGGAATGGAGGACTCTTCTCGTAAAATATCTCTGGACTTTCTCAATTGTATTATGTCCGATATGCAGTGCAGGTTCCAGACAGATGAGCTGTATTTGAGAATTGGTCTAGCAAATGTTTTGTATGCTCTAGTTAGTAGTACAGTATTACCAGAGAAGAAGCTATGCAAGATTGTAAGATTGCAAGATTGTACCAGATGAAAATTTCCTTCCTCTAATAGAGAAAGCTTAATAAAGTAATTGGATAAGATTGTGTACTGTAATAAAAGAGATCAAACCATACATAATCACCACTGTTATTTCCAGAATTCAAGGGGTATCACCAGAATTACTGCATCATGAATCCAGAAGAATAATATTTCCCCTGAGCTATGCTTGCAGTTTTGCAGATTAACTATGTTTTGGAACAGTTCTGATTTCCTTAGAAAAAATTGAAAATAAAAGAGACCTTTATCGTGCAAAATGTTACTTGGGGGAAGGGTGGACATCACCTTCAGATTTTTGAAGCATCAAAGCATAAAACAGACTAGCAATGCTCTGAAAGACATAAACTAGACTTTGATTTGAGAGTGGAAAAAGGGAATTACATGCAACCATATTAATACAAGTAGTAGTTGGCACCAGGTCTGGGCTTAGAAACTAGGCAGGACTGGACTTGATTAGTATTTAGGCGAAAGCCTTAGGGAATGCCAATTTTTTTTATTAGGCAGACAGAAAACAATACACACAAAACCTGGGTGTGCCTATTTCATTCCAGATTAGAACATGCAGGATTTTAGATTAAGTACCATTTTCATTCAGGTCTTTCATACGATTCCTACATTTACATCCTCAAAAAGTTCTTATTCCTGTGTTCAGTGTTTCCTTTCTCATTTACAATGCTTCTAGAGAGAGTATCTGAAAGTCAAAAAGTGAATGGAACTTAACTAACAGTAAAAAAAAAAAATCTACCCCCATGTCAAATCCCAAACTACCATAGGTAATATTTATTTCAAGTACCCTGTTTCCCCTAAAATAAGACATCCCCTGATAATAAGCCCAATTAGGCTTTTGAGCGCATGCACTAAAATAAGCCTCCCCTGAAAATAAACCCTCCCCAAAAATATTTAAATGCATGTGCAGACGGTCCCCGCCATTTCCTCTGGTTTTCTCCATGCACCCAAAATAATAAGACCTCCCCGAAAATAAGGCCAAGTGCTTATTTAGGGGTTCAAAAAATATAAGACAGGGTCTTATTTTCGGGAAAACACGGTATTTGTACTTCTAATATTTATTTCATCATGGAAAAAAACAACCTAGGCCCATATAGTATTAATTAAATTAGAATATAATATTGTACCACTTGAGATACTTTTTGTAAGAAAACCATCAAAATTAATTTTCTTTTCTATGCAAAGAAGAGATATTGGATAAAAGTAGTTAACTAGTTAGAGGGAAATTATCTGAATAAACACTTTCCCCTAAAAATTGTGCCCACAGTACAGGTAATCCTTGATTTACGACCACAATTGAACCCAAAATTTCTGTTGCTTAAGTGAAACATTTGTTAAGTGAATTTTGCCCCATTTTATGACCTTTCTTGTCACAGTTGCTAAGTGAATTACTGCAGTTGTTAAGTTAGTAAAACGGTTGTTAAGTGAATTTGGCTTCCCCGTTGACTTTGCTTGTCAGAAGGTTGCAAAAGGTGATCACATGATCCTGGAATTTGCAATGGTTGTAAGTGTGAAAAGCAGTCATAAGTCACTTTTTCTGTGTCGTTGTAACTTTGAATGGTCACTAATTGAACTGCTGTAAGTTGAGGACTAACTGTATACTTCTATAGTATTCTAAAGCCCAACTTGCAAGTCCTTAAAGCATCACATGAGGTTGTTTTCTACAATAAACTAGCACAACTATTCTCTAGAGTGCTGAAAGTTGCACAGCATGTGCAAATTTAATCTATTGGTTGCTATCCCTACTTAAAAGTAATTTTCTGCCATATACCATTCCATGGAATTGTGATTTGAATCACAGGATATGAAAGCATTATATTTATTTCCAGATTTTTAATCAACTTGTTAACCAGAGCTGCATTAAATATATTTTAGTTTCTATTTTGTATATTTCAAGTTCTTTATATTCTCTCTGGAATCATTTGACCAATCTCTAACTGGGTTCATATATCCTGATAAGTGATAATATAGTTTGTTTGATCTGGACCTAATATAATGGGTAATGTAGTCATTATGAAGTTAAAAAAATCAGGAATCAGGTGGCATTTGTAGATTTGAAAAGGTGCTACCAGACTCCTGATTTTTGTCTACCATGGATTAATATGGCCATCCTCCTAATCTCTCATTACTGTCCTAAATGATAGTTTCTGATTTAGCATAGTGTATAAATCCAATGAAAGGCAGTGTTTGACCATCATAATCTACTGTACAAGTTTGAGACAAGAAAGGTAGAAGAAGAACTACATATATTATTTGAGGCCTTTGGAAGACAGCTAGGATCTAATATTTTCTAAACTAATTAAATAAAAAATAAATGTTTATAATACAATCCACCAGTTTAATGTCATGATAGGTACAGTATATAGCAGATGATAGGTCTGAGACAAAAATTTTATATTCAGATTTGACTAATATACTTGTGCCAATTTACACTAGCATCCCCCCCCCCATGTTAATATGTAGCTCACTTAAATGGCACGTTTTACTTCTTTTCTTCTGCTGTGATTTCTGCCCAATGTTACATTTCCCACTAAACAGTGCTTGCCTTTTCCTTGAATATGAATTGTATTCTCCAGTCCATTGGCATTATAATAACTTTTATTGGCAGAAATAGTTTTAAAGTGGTAGAACTAGGTTATCAACATTTTCTCTTTTCTCTCTCTGACCTGAGAGGGAGAAGCAGGAAATCTTGCTGTGGTAATGGTTTAAACTGAAAGGTTATTTTACTACATCATACACAACAGTGCTGCTGTGAATAATTGCATAATCTTTATTTTTAAACCTATGCCCATATACAGTATAGCTGCGGTAATCTGCACATGCAACCAAATTAAAAAGAAAAAGAAAAAGCAATGTAAAGCTGCACCAGGGCCTCTTGCTTCATAATTGCTGTGCTACATTATAATTTGTAGCATGTGCCTGCCTATGCTATAAGCACACATAATCTTTTAAATTTTGTGTACTCTTTGTAGGAATAACATTATGCATGGCTATGGATTGGTACAATGAATGTTATACTGTTTTTGTTAACGCGTACATCAACTTAAATCAACCAGTGTTGAGTTAGGTTACTGTACGTGTTAATCTGATGTGCAAACTGGCCAGTAACTCCTTAAAATGAGTAGGGGTACTTAGAGGGGAGACTGTCCTTATCTCTGAGCTTAGTTTTTGCTCAGTAATAAAGTAACTCTCATACAGTATTTGTATGGCACACTTCTTCAAGAGTTCAAAACTGCACACACTATCTTCCCCAACCTGTCATTCTCCAGATGTATTGGGTCTCCAATTCCCAAGTTGACTGGGAATTTTGGGAACTGCAGTCCCTATGTGGGTGAGATTAAGAAAGGCTGATGTACATGATGAGCCAATTGTGACCTGATAAAATTAATATTTACCTGCATATGTTACATTTGCCCAGAGCATTTAATTCAAAGAGTATAATGTATCTAAGAACTTTAAGGGGAAAAAGATATGTATGGATGCATGCAAAAATGTTTCAAGACACTCTTTCATCCATCCCCGTGCTTATACTAATATAAAAATTCTAAGGGCACAAATCCAACACATTAATTGCAAGCCAAGAATAGAATATTTGAAGCCCAAGAATAAATATATTACCTGAGCACAAAATATCTAAAAATTGTTAACAGCAACTGAAAGAAATATATTGATATTTGTCTGAAAGCTTTATAAATGGAATAAGCTATTTCAACAGGACACTTAAGAAGGAGTCCCTTCCATAATCAATACTACACAGATTGTATTCCACAAACCTGTTTCTGTGTATATTGTATTCTCTGCACAAGACCTCTTGGACTGAACCATCCCATTTAATTTCCAATAAGGCAAATCCACATTGACTATATGTTACATACTACTTCCAGTATACTTATAACTTCAACAATAGAGCAGTGCTGGGAATTTTTCGTAAAAAGAAATTAGTCCTTATCTGGATCATTTCTTGCTTTTTTACTTCAAAGGCAGTGTTTTATAAAATAAGTAGTGAGTTTGACAATTTTTTTAATAAGCATAGGCTTTCTTTTAGCATAATTAGCACAAGAGGGAAAGTTATCAGTTGAGTAATCTGATAACTGATTAATCTGTTGGTGACTACAATTTAGTAAATTGTGGGAGAAGAGGTTGAGGAAAAAGGAGGAAGATTGCAGTCCACGAATGTTTCATACTGATCTTTTTTCCATTCCAACCTCATTTTCAGCTAAATACATTATCTTCTATCTTCAGAAAAAGTTTCCTAAAAATTTCCAGATGATAAATGCTCTTTACTATTTCATTTATTAGCATTCTTTATAAAGCTGTGGGAGAAAATATGACAATAAACTAAACCTTAATTTGGCTTCAGTGTAACTTTTAATATGCAGCACAATTTTTGACTATGATATTTTTAGGAAGATGAGATACCTCTCTGAAGAATCCTTATCTGAGACAGCAGATGACAGGATAAAATGCTCCATCTTCTCCTTCCCAAATGTAAATTGGGAAGTTCCCATTTCATAGTCAAATGAATTTGAAACCATACATATGCAATGTGAGGATAAACACACTTGACTTTCTTGCATGACTGTTATAAAGATTACTGCAATTAAGAACTGAAAGTGCCATAAACATGAAATTGCTAACGGATACTGCAGAATTTCCACAGAATCTTTATACTGAAAGGAAATGTACAGCACCTGCCCTTGGCTTAGACATCAATATTTTCTCTTTAAACTGTAAATATAATTCTTCTCTTTCATTGCACTCTACAACCAGCAAAAGGAACATTAACATCTAAACATGTTTACATTTTTAAAACTACAATGAGGATTAAATAGAAAGATGTATCACTTGAAATTTAATTAAAAACATCAGATTTTGCTTGAGTGTGCTTTCAAGAGAAATTACATTCATATATTTATCGTGCTATTGCCTTTTTACTTTTTCCCCTTTTCTCCTAATGCAAAGAAAAATCAAAATGTTTAATCTATGATGATTAATTTCCCTTTGCTACAATCTTAAATTTCTTCAAAAGAAAATCCAACTATGTCCAATGTAATTTACTTTTGGAGACAATAAATCTAGGGCATTTAATAAATTAATAAATCTAGGGCATTTGTGTGTTGGGGAAGATACACATTAATTTTGGGTTATTTTTCAAATCTCAACTTTGGGCATATAGTTTCTGACATTCTGCAGAATCACTGAATTGATAGAAGCTGTAGATCTCTGATTTATGCCCTGTTATTCTTAAATAAAGAATCTGGCAAGATAGCTTATGTATAGTGATATGTAACTATTTTAACCTTAATCAACAAACATTTGTGATGAAGATACATAATTGCAGATGAAAATAGTTTTTTCATTAAAATTTGTATCTATATTAGCTAACAATGTTCAAATTGGTAATTATGCTATTAATTCTTCTTTACCTCACTATAAGTAGTGAACATAAAAGAAAATACTGTTCCACCCAAATCTAAAATCTCAGCTTATAAATTATTGATATAAATCAACCAAAATAATAAAATCACACAAAATATCTCTACAGTACTCTATTGACAAGTATGAATTAAAATATCAGCTAAGTAACTCTCATAAATGCACTCATCTATTTGAATATAATTTAAGGTATACTGTTTGTATCCATGCAAGACCTTAAAATGGCTAGGGTGGACATGTCAATCTGACATTTGTAAAATGAGACCTTGAAAATTTGCATAAAGTTCTAAGCCTTACCAAACATACAGGAATTAAATTAAAGTACTGAAATGGCATACAAATCTGAGTAAATAAATAAATGAAACTGAGTTTGCATTTTTTAAACATCCTTTATATATCTACCTGGTCCTGGATAGAGATGCTGATTTAATTGACACTGTCAAAGTATGTATGAAGTACAGCATTGTGTTTTGGAGTGCAGTGCAGCCAAATTTTGTTAGCTCTAACAAAATTATTTTGAAGTGTTCTAAAAATCTCTGTCTTCTATAGATTTCCCTCATTTTATGGGCTCAGATATTAAATAAATATATTATTCTGTAAAGTGGTTAATATAGGATATATAAATACCAGTATCAAAATGCTTTGGACTTCTAAATGGCCTGGAAGTGTGATAAAAAAAAAAGCTTTATAAACAACAGTGCCTAGAGCCATGGAACTATGAGTAGATAAGAGAGGGAACAATTCATTTGTCTTCACCCAAGTGGTCCTTTTGCTTTTCAAATCAATGCTAGGAAGTTTGGATTTAAAGAAGTTCTGCAGTGATTGTTACTTTGAACCCCAAGAGAAAGACATGGGGTTGGGACAGACATGCTTTATGCCTAAATTCACACAACATGCTTAACTTGTTTACTGGGTTCTCCTTAAACATACTTACAAGCCAATCAAACAGACTGAATTTGCATAATATGCTAATACACATACATATGCACAAAATCAAAGTTTGTGAGTTCAGAGGCTAGGTATGTAACTGGCAAGTACAGCTGCTGGATCTATAACTGACCCAGTTAGGTGCATTGTATAAATACACCTTTGGGCAGAAGTCTCACCTTCCCATATCCCATCTTATTAAGATGTCCTGAACCTCCAAATCTTAAATCTGCAGTCAGGAAATGCTTTGAAGAAAATATTCTAACTCTGCAGCAAATACTACTTCACAAAGAAAGAAAATTGTGACTTCCTAGGTAGCAGAAGTAAAGAAATCTAGCAAGGAAGGAAAAGCAAGCGAAGAGTTTCTGCTAAGTAATGTAGATAAACATATAACCTGAGTGAAAAAAAAAGAAAGCCAGGTTTTGAACCAGAGATCCAACCCAAACTGTTCTGAACGCTGGCAGTCTACTGGTAAAATATACGAATAGAAGGCAAGAGCATTTCTGGGCACGTTTTAGAGTGTATTTTCCAAACTACTGTTCTGATCAAGCCTTATTTGAGTTCCCAAATGCCCTGGTGGTGGACGTGGCAGCTTCAGCTCTAACACCACTCATTTGGTAAACAAAAAGCCCAACGAGTGGTGAGGGCCTGCATCAAACCTGGGAGCTTTAGCCCTGGGGAGAAGAACTGGGTGCCAGCCCTAAGGAAGGGCACCCCAGAGCCCATCTAACCTAAGGAAAGCCTGACCCTCTAGCTGGCCAACGAGCCCCTCCAGGAAATTTAGACTGAAAGGGAAACAGAAAGACTTAACGCAGGCAGGAGAGCCATGGCAGAAAATTTGGAGCGTCCAACCCAAACAGGATGGACAGACTCACCAGGGGGAGGACTGCCAGGGGGTTTTGGTTTTGGAATGGCTTCTGAGGTTCCTCAAAAGTCTGGGATACTTCCAACCTCGCCTGCCTGCGCTCGAGACCCGACCTTTCAGCTCAGGGATGGAGCGAGCGGCGCACGTACCTGGCAGAGACAGGAGGCTTCCAGCGAGGAAGCAACAAACGGCCGTGAGGTTGTACAGGGAGCGACGAATTCCCACCATGATGGGCCGGCCCTAGAGGCGATCGGTCAGGGCAAGAGAGAAAAAAGGAGAACCGGCGCCTCCGGCAGCGTCTGTAAAGATCTGGTCCTGGAGAGTGAGTCACTGCCACGTGGTTTGTTCACAAACACAAGGATGGGACTAGTCGGGGCGTGTTGCGGCCTCTTTTTCGCTCCCCAACGCCTTAACAAAAGTGCCCGAGTTCTTCACTTGTCCCGCATCGTTCGCAGGACTCTCACGCCCCCTGCGAAAACAAAAATCTACCCCACTGACTGGGGGCCGCCCCCTCTCCCGGCTGAAACTCAGAAGCCGATGCTTTCTCCGCAATTGGCCAGAGTTTTTCTAGAAGAGCAACAAGAGGAGCCGATAGCGCAACACTCCGTCCCACTGACACCGTCTGGGAACAAACCGGCTGCGCTGCGAGAACAGCTCCGCCCCTTCACCGTCGGAGCCGGGGGGGGGGGGCGTCAAAGCAGACCACCGTCTCCGCGATAGGTGACGGAATGAGCTTTGAGAATCTGTTCAACATTCATCCGTGTTGTTCTGAACAATCCGGGTAGGGTTAGATAACACGCGAAGGAGAATCAGGAAGATCTGAAAAAAGTCTCGGATTATGTTTACCTTTTCTGAGCTGACACGCCTTAAACCAATATAATGCTTCATTAAAAGTAGCATCTAACAAGTTTATCCAACTAGGTGGCAGCACATAGCTCATCCTGGCTGATGTTGGAAAGGCGAGCTACCAAAACGTTTGATTGTTTAGCGAACGTGCTACCTGTAAATGAATTCTTTAATTTCAACCATAATACTACAAGGGCCATTAATAGATTTAAACTCAATGTAATTCGCTCTAATCTTAATTGTAGGAAATATGACTTTTGCAATAGAGTAGTAAATGTCTGGACCAATCTACCTGATCCTGTTGTTAGTCTCTCTAATACCCATAGCTTTTACCGTAAACTGTCCACCGTGGACCTTTCATGTTTCTTAAGAAGTCCCTAAGGGGTGTGCATAAGCACACCAGTGTACTTACTGTGCCTGTCCTACTGTTCCCAATTATATGTAATCATTCTATGCGTTTATGGCTATGTTTTGCCAATTTATATACTTTTTTTTTGTGCCAAAATTTTTTTCATGTGTCCATGTCTGTGTCTACTTTGTTGCTTGTTTTCTTATTGACAAATAAATAAATAAATAAATAAATTTATTATTATTATTATTAATAATAATAATAATAATAATAATAATCATCTGATTAGTACTTGGAAGGCAGAGACCACCACTAGGGTCCCCCAGGCAGGGCAGTCTTAACAGCATTATGGGCCCCGGGCAAAGCAGTACATTGGGGCCCCTACGAAAACTACTCATAGGAATAAAAATGTAAATGGTCAATAAAATTAAACATATATTTGCATGTTAGTATTAATTTAAAAATGCAGTAAAGTGTAATAAATATGTTGCTGTTATTTATATAATACAAGGTGCATTGAAAGGTTAACATACACAGATTAGACTATGCTCGTGGGGCCCACAGGTAATTGCCCATCAGTCCCATGCGTTAAGACAGCCCTGACCCCAGGGGGGTTTGATATTTGGTGAATCGTGAATAATCCTGGGGAAAAAATGGTAAAACATTTCCAAAAATGCTATATGGACTGTCTATAAAGGTGCAAGGCAGGAAAGGTCAAATGAGTCCAGATTTGAGGCATTTCCCTGACCCTTAAATGCAAAGCAAATATTCCTTGGCAGCTATAATATTGATATGTGAAGGTAGGCAGTTAGGTAAACTGTATTTAAATAAATCAGAAACATGTTGTGTGATGGCAGCTAATGTGTGTTCACACATTATTTATGCATTTGGTATGCTTGTCTTTGTTAATCTAACTATTGTGGTTTATAGACCAGAATTTATTATTTGGTACATCTGAATGGAGCTTCTAATGTTTATTCAATAAACTAAATAAACTAGTTAAGCAAACCAGGGCCTGGTTTATTTTTATTTGTGGACGAATGTACAGGAGTCCAGAAGTAAAACTGAAAAAAGAATCAAATGAAATAAAAATCATTTTAGTCCCAAGAAAGAAACTGAAGATAATTCTGCTTTGATCTTCTTTGGCAAAAGAGAGTGCAGAAGTAAATACTTTCAGCTTTTCAAGTTTCTGCCTATATAACTTATAACAATATAGAAGAGTTCCAATAATTATTGTGATGCCTATTTCTTGACCTTGCCTACATCAAAATGTTGACAATTTGACTAGAAAATTAAATATGCATTATAGCAAAAGTATCTGAATTACTTAGAAAGGTATTGAAGAAACTTATAGATGAACACAAAAAATGTCTTGGAGAAAATATATGGTGTGAGAAAAGAACTAAATATTGTCAGATCTTGATTCTCTTTATTATAAGAGGAAGGGGAAAATGCTGTCAAAGATTTTCTTCTCTGGATAAGCCAGACAATGTTTTGACATTCTATAAATGTTGCAAAGTTGATTGTGAATTTCTAATTTTCAAACAATTACTAATTTTAGAAAAGGCACTCGTCACTTCCCGCCTGGACTACTGCAATGCTCTCTACATGGGGCTCCCCTTGAGGAGCACCCGGAGGCTCCAACTGGTGCAGAATGCGGCCACGCGGGGGATTATGGGAGCGAGGGGGCACTCCCATGTGGCACCTCTCCTGCATGAGCTGCATTGGCTTCCAGTTGTCTTCCGGGTGCGCTTCAAGGTGTTGGTTACCACCTTTAAAGCGCTCCATGGCATAGGACCTGGGTATTTGCAGGACCGCCTTCTGCCGCCGATAGCCTCCCACCGACCAGTACGCGCCCACAGAGGGACTCCTCAGGGTGCCGTCAGCCAGGCAATGTCGGCTGGCGACCCCCAGGGGGAGGGCCTTCTCTGTGGCAGCTCCTGCCCTCTGGAACAATTTGCCCCCGGAGATACGAAGGATATTGGATCTCCGGGTCTTTTGCCGTGCCCTGAAAACTTTTCTTTTCCATCAAGCAGGGCTGGCGTGAACCCCCTCCCCCTTTTTTAGTCTTTTTAGTTTTTTAGTTTTAAATTGTCATGGGGTTTTAATTGAATTGTTTTAAATTGGGCCAGTTATGTAATTCTTTTAACAATTTTAAATTTTGTATCGGCATGTGTTTTAGTTCTGGCTGTTCACCACCCTGAGTCCACTAGGAGAAGGGCGGTATACAAATTGAAATAAATAAATAAATAAATAAATAAATAAAAATAATGTGACATTTTATTTTTAAAGCCTTTTATGAAATATACTTTGTAAATAGTGTACTTCTGAGTGAAACCTACACAATAGTGATTATGCATCATTTCACATAAATTATGTCAGATACAATGGGAAAATAATAAGGAAAATACACTGCAGAAAATGTCCACTCCATTGCAGTGTGTTACTTGAGAACAGCTATAACAAACAATTAAGTTCCTAGTCTATGTATCCATTTTAATGGATAAATTTAATAACTGACAGAGGAGCACTAGCTTGCTAAAACTAATCCATTTGTCATAGACAGAAAATATAAAATTAGATGTACATTTAATCTCTGGGTAATTATTAAAATCAAGCATTCCTTTGCATTGAAATATAATTATATGTGTAATGAAGGGCAGGATTAATTACTTCTAATTAATAGAATTGCTAAAGGCAAATAAGCTTCACTATGAATAAGGCAAATTGCATTCCTAATATAGAAACTTGACTTTTTGGGAAAATATGCATTTTGACTTTGCTGCTATGCCAGACTACAGATTAGTTTACAATAATTATTACATCAAAGCATATACCAATATGAGCCATGATGAATCATCATGTGCCATGACATCAACACACAAATGCTGCAAATTGTGTAATTTGTCCAGGTAACAAACTCCTCCTAGCATCCTGAGAATTACAACTACTCTTAAAATTAGCACAAACTATATTTGAACCTAAAATTTTATCCTATGTCAATGCTTATATTGGCAGTATATTAAAAAAAATACAGTCTTTTAGTAGTGGCAAATAAATTAAAGGAAATATTGACTTAGGGTTTATTGTGGCTAAGTGGCTGACAGATTATGTCATGCAGACCAGATTAAACCCAATTAGAGGGATTAGTTTTTATGCAGTATGCAGAGCCAATTGGCCAAATGCAGTAAACCATAGTTTAATGTTGTGTGAATAAACCTACTGAATAATTTAGCCAGCCAGATTTTACTTACCTGGTATATTTTGTCTATTTTAAAGTGTGTTGGCTATCTTAACAGACTTAGAAGCTCTCAAAATATTATTGAATATTGTTGTGAATAAAGCTGAACTGAGGGGACTATTTCTATCCTGCTGTTATTTATCTATTTATCTGTTCAGTTTGTACAACCTTCCTGCTAAACATGCAACTCTGAGCAGTTAAAATCCAATTAAAACAACAAAACTATTAGCAAAAATCAAAATCCAATGAAGCATTTAATTTTTTTTCTTTTTACGACCCTTTAATCCCTTTATTTGGGGTGAGTTGGAGTGACTGTATGTAACTGAGTGTTTATCAAATAAGAAATTTGATATCACTATGTAAATCACTATATAAATCAACTCCCTAAAAGTGAGCTCACCTAATTTCCTGAGAGAAAAAATAAGACAAGCAGTGTGAGAGCCATCTTGGATCTTGGAAACAATTCTACAAGGGAGACACATTTCCTGGATCGCATCAACCCACCTCACAGGGTGTTGTGGAGAAAACAGGAGGAAGAAGGAATATTAGACATGTTTGCCACCTTGGGTTATTTATACAAATAATAAACATGGTATGAAATATGTTTAAAAATAAATAAAAATGATATTTTTAATAGAAGGGCATTCCATACTGTCAGATTTAATGGATTGGGCAGAAATAACTGCAGACAGGCTGTTTTGCAAATAACCTGTACCTGTACCTGAAGGGGTCTCTAAATATAACCAGCATCTTACATTGTAGAAACTTACTTGGAGCCAATGCAGCTCACAAAGAAGTGATGTTATATGCTCATATTACCGTGTGCCCATAATTTGTGCTGCTGCATTATGGAGCAGATGCAGCTTCTGAGTGCTCTTCAAGGGCAGTTTCTCATAGACCTCATTGTAGTAATCAGACAGGAGGTAACCAAGGTGTGAGTGAATATGAGCAGAACCTCCCATCTAGGAATGAATTCACTTGGTGCACAATATGGATTTGTGTAAGAACTCACTTAGTGATGGCTGCCACCTGCTCTTTAAGAAGGAGCCAAGCATTCTAGAATTACCCCAAATTACACACCAGTTTTGTCTGGGAAAGCCCAACTTAATTCATTACTGGGAAATAACCATATCTAGGTCAGGCCTTAAAAATATAGCCATTCAGGTTGTGGTGATTTGGTTGGGAAGAAAGGC